TTCATTTCTCAGAGTACAGTAATGTTTTTGAGAACATTTTAACAAGAACTCTTTCTCTCCTGCCACCTAAATTTGAGAAGCAAAGTCAGGCCGCCGCACATTACTTTCCTCCCTTCCCATCCCTCCTGTAAATTATATAGGCTCTTACAACCTCTTGCATTGTTGTTAATAGCTGAATGTGGGCATAATATATTATTTTGATAATCGAGACGTTACTGGATGTTAGAGTTTAATCAATAGCATTAAGAAGTGTTTTCATTGGAGTTTTTAATTTTGATTAATGCGCTTTCTGCATGAAATAGTTCATTTACATGGCCTGAACTTTCAGTTCTTACCATCCCACATACCGGTGAGGTCACCCTCATATGTTACATTACAGAGGCGCCTCAAGGGAAGTAAAAGGCGATATGATTTGAGTCAATATGTATATTGCATTTCCCTAAAAACAGGCGCGTAATCTGTAATCCTTATTGTGAAAGCCATTGTGAGTTTATTTCAGTCAATAAAAGTATATTATGTCACCCTAAATCTGTACATCCTTATTTTGAGAGCCATTGAACATCTTGATTTGAGTCAATAAAGTCTGTTACGTAGCCTACGTAATCTATAATCCTTTTTGTGAATTTTGAGTTTGGAATGATCAAAGACGTTCATAAACCTCTGCAGTTTCATATCAACACCTTATAAGGTGTTGCCATGTACAGAGGTCCAAATTGTATGAATTAATTGTCTGAATGGTGTTGCAGGAATCTCTTGGTCATAATCACCTAATACAGAGCTTTTCTACAGACATAACATCCTGGTTATTGTTCTGGATAGTAGTAACCTAAGGGCATAGCGGGATTGCGATAACGAAGCTTTAACCAATAAATATATCAGCAAATGGTTGGCTACTAGTTGGTGGAATGAATGTGTCAATTCGTAGGCAATCTACTCTACAACTGTGTTCTGCTTAAGCACCTTTGTCCCAGTTACGACAGACCTCGGCCTGAGAGCTGATTGAAATAATATAAATTATCATTCTTGGTTTAGGCACTGCAGAAAACCCTCTTTGGGAGACTACTATCTCTCACTTTCTTGCTCTCCAACGGAGTAGGCTGCATGCACGTGCAACGCTCGTTTCCCGGTCCCTCTCCAAGGTGCTGAAAATATTGTTCGACTTGATAAAACTGCAGAAGTTATTAAAACTGATGGTGCTCACGTTCTGAGCTGACTTTGTATTTTTTGACAGAATATAACATTGCTACTGAAACACATTTTGAACTTTTCAGTTCTCTTTCCAGTTGATAAAAGACAGTGAGATCCCCTCTCCCTGTTTTAAGATACAGACCTCCTACCAGAGTATAGGCACTTTAAAAAAAATGTGTGATGTGTTCTATGGTTTTCCCCCTAGAAATGTGTCATCCATACATCTTTCTAAACAATTGGTGTATTGTTTGGTTACATAAGTAACCTGCGCTGGTGCATGTTATTAGTTGTTACACATACATCTTAATCATGTCACCAGCTGACATGATACTGTCTCCCTGTGGTGTAAAACTGATAACAACTATTTTGGTCCCCTTAGAAGTGAGTTGCAATAATGACATCACAATCCTAATAAAATAAAAATAAATAAATAAAGGAGCAACCTCCCATATTATATTGTCTCACACTAACACCCTATATCCTAGGTAATTGTAAGCTCTTCCCCAGTCCCCTATAGTCTAGCATTGTCTTCTCTAAGTATGGATAACATGACTGTCTGCTGAAGCCCTAGTAGCTGATTTGTCCTCTACTGCAAATCCAAATTATATGGAAACACTAGAAGGATTGTCTTGTGATGAAATCAATCAGACCACACAGGATAGTCACAGGTGCTGCAGACCAGTCCCTCAATGGAGGTGCCTTAACAACATTTCTCAGTAGTATAGTGTTAAACATCTTTGCCAAATTTAAGATAGACCTAAAGGAAGTAGATGGAGCCAGAGAGCAGTTGGACGCAACTAACCTCAAGTTATCTGAAGCAACATAGGTTGCAAAACAACATGAGGCTTCTATTGAGAGGTTAAAAGAAGAGGATAGCCAACAGATGGCCGAGTTGCCTCCCACGAGGAAGGAAAAAGAAAGGAAGAGAAACTAGCCAAGTCACAAGTGGTTCGAGAAACAGAAAGGTGAGCTACTACTAGCCCAATTGCAGAATACAGAGTTAAAAACAACCAAAGACACTGCGAATTGCGCTGAAAGAACTAATGGCTCAAGCCCAGCAAACAAATAAGTAAAATGACGCACTCAAACAAGAACGTAATACCTTAAAGAACTCGGACGACTCGTTAGATGAGGAGCACGAAGACATGACTAGACAACTGGAGGACACGAGAGGATTGCTGTGACTTCCGCTTTAAGAACTGACACACCGAGTTAAGAAGGGACTCACTGCAGAAATTGCATTGTTGGCCGAGTCAGGTACATCCTGTCTTTGTCTTTAAGTTAGAGACTGTAAAGCTGGTAGTTGGGCAAGACCTACTGAACAGGTTGGCCCCACTAATTGACTGTGGCTAAAATATAATTGTTGGCTCAAGTCAGGGTTCCTGATGTCATGACACCACGTGACCTCCAGAGGATATGCTGTGATGTGGTTAAAGCACCCGACGATGCAGATCTTTACTCGGCAGAAGATGACCCAAGCTATGGGAACCTGGAGTCACCCACTAGCAACACTCAAACCCATACCAATCAGTTGTCTATCCCATCCTCGACGCCAAACCAGAACTGTCCTCCCACCCAACTCCTTGGGGAGAGAGAAACATGAATCTGTGCTTTAGAACCACCTAAGTACTATTCCAGGTGTTGTAAACGGCATTCAAGTAGAGGGAAAAGTAGTTGACGACTTGATAATGGCGCTGTGGTCTGAGAAATCGGCCATCTATAAATCATTGTATGATTCTTAATGTGGCACAACAAAACCACAGATTCCTTCTTGCTACCACCCCTCAGCAACAGGAGTGTGTGCCATAAAACTCAAACTTCACACAAGGATTAGAAACACCACATGCTTGTTGTGCCAAAGCTGACCCACTATGTCTACATTGGTGCAGAGATACTAGTGAGATTAGGGGCACAGCTAGACACAGTCAACAACATTCTGTGGTCCCAAGCAGCTGTGGACCCGAATGATTGCTATTTTGAGCTTCAGCACATGCGCTCCGGTCAAACAATTCCTCAAGCTTGTCAAGTCATGAATGAATGGGAAGCTGTCATTCCTGCGAAAACGCTGGGAGTCCCACTCGGACTGAACCTAAAACTAGGTAAATCACTCAATGGTTCCCAAGCCTTCTTTCAACCATCACCCAAGTTCTATGACTTAGGTCTAATGGTATGCGGATATCCCTTGCTTGAAATGATCAACCATGTTACGTACCTTCTGGTACAAAACCTCCAAGAGACAGACATCCGCATATCCTTGCAAACTCCTTTGGGATACTTGATTGACAGCTCTTCCCATGACTTTGAGCTGATAATTCCAGTAATAGGGGAACTCCCTCCCACCTTGATAGCCAATCAGGAACATGACAATGTCTTCTTTCCTGGTTCAAGCAAAAACATTGCAGTGGTCCCTTACAAAACCGTACACAGTGATACTGTGTGCCGGGTAGACCTGAGCACCCAAAATTAAATGCTCAGTGACGCAGTAATGACTGAGAGCCAAAGGGCTGAGCTAACTACTGTGACCAAACTGTGCAATGCAAATCCTATCATGGACGATTCACAAAATTCTGCACAGGATTTGACTATTTGAGTGTAAAGTGTTGTTAGATACATAATTACCTTGACATCCAGACTGCTGGAATGGGCAGCTCATTTTCCAAGCCAAGTGCCCAAACAAGGAGGAAACCTCAAAGGGGAGGTTTCATCACTTACTGTACAGTCTGATACACATAATGCATATTTCCAGCTGGTTAAAAAGGCGGCTGAGCCTAAGGATGCTAGGCTAACACTAAGTGGACTCATTCCTGCCCAGCAGGGGTGGAAGAGCAAATTGACAAACCATCCAATGTCAGCCATACCCAGAACCAATTTACAATACTGTCTGGACAATTGGTCATGATCAAAGATGGCTGGAGTGAGATCCCAGACAGAGTAGACTGTTGGGAAACCCATTCAGACGCTGCCCATCTGGAAACAGACAATCTCACCACAAAGCAAGGTGATTTGGAACCGGGCAGACCCGCTCTTTCTGAGCAATCTGGCCCCGCTCACGACTCACATAAAGGACACATGCTTTCCCAAAACCCCATCCACAGGACTAGGCCACGGACTTCCCTCACAATCCCAACAGGTTTACCCGGTGGAAAGGGGGAAGAACCAAATATTGAAAATTATGTTGGCCCATATGGTATTGACCGATGGTAAACAAGAACCTATTGGCCAAAAAAACCTGGCTATGTGCCAACTGTGTGCCACATGGAACCACCCACTTCTTCTGTCGTTACTGCCTTTTACAGTTTTTTCAATGCCAGGTACGCAAACTCCTTCAGGTGATTAGTTCACACGGATTACAAAGGGGGGAGTTATAATGACACCATGCCAGGTAGTCCACTTGCCACAGCTGACACTAGGCAGCCTAGTTGTTGCCAATTTCAAACAGTCACACATCTTTTCAAAGCAACTCAGAAAGAGTTCCGGGGGGGTGACAGAAATGTTTACTTCACCAAATTACTTGGCACCTTCATTATCTCACTCTGATCAAATCAGGGTGTATTGCAATTCCCTCATGCAAAACAGGGGCTGCAATGCCCCAGTTATCCAAACCCCATGCTGTCTTCCTCTTTCTGTAAGCCACATTTGCCCAGGCACTCACTGGTCTATGTGCATTCAATTGTCTTGTTCAGATAAATACACATAGAATTCTTGAACTGTACCTTAGTAGTCATATAATCATATTGGTTATTAGTGGTTATTCTATTGCAAGTGTCTTGGTTGTGTATTCTAATCTTCTAATCTTCGGGGTACAACTCTAGAGGGTACTGTCCTCATAGTTAACTTGCATTCCATGCTGTTGAACAAGATACTTCATACCGTTGGTAGGCTCCTAGATGTTATTGCATATGACTATGCCCACGTTCAGATGGTAAACATGCTAATGCAGGATCTGCTCAGATAGATCAGCTCTTCTATTGATAACCTGGTTATGGATAGAATCCCCTTCTATCTGTTCCCTCTTGACAATCCTACAGTCAGCCACTGTAGGGACGGTACAGCTCCTACAAGTGCACCTAGCTTACAGTTTAGGCAGTGCAATTCAAATCCATGCCGACCCAAAGGTGAGGGAGATCGGTTTTCTTATGATTGATAACAAGAATATCTACAGGCTCAAGTCTGTCCTCAACGTATGTTTTTGGCAAAATGATATACATGTAAAGTTCCACAGCCCTCCTATGGTTGCTTACCTAGAGAGTAATCCTGACTTGTATGTGACCCCAAACCTGCCTATATGTAGCCCCACGAAAGATGTTCACTACCTGTGTCCCGGTAAACCCTTAATCCGAGACAATGCAGAACGTCTTTGCGGCATTAAGCCATTATCTGAGGATGAACGTTGTCAAGCTGCGGCATCCGTTAAGGATGACGTAACTGTCACATGGATTGAGATAGCCTGCGACTTGTGGCTTGTTAGTACCCCTGCCGATCACGTCATAGTCACCTATGACAGCGATGACACTGTTACTAAACTGCCACTCCTAAATCAAACTTTTTTCATTAGTTCCAGAGGGAGCTATAGTACAACTGGCGGATGTCGCATTGTACCACTTAGACTCAGATAGACATGATACCGCCGTTGAAATTCATGATGCTTTTGCTGGACTGTCATGCCCTGACATTGAGAGTTGGGTTGGTCAGGTGGGAAATCTAGTTTATATATTTCTATGTTGGCCGGGTGTGGTTCCCAATCAGAGGCAGCTGTTGGTCGTTGTCTCTGATTGGGATCATACTTAGGCAGCCATGTTGCCTACCTTAGTTGTGGGATCTTGTTTCTGTTTGGCGTGTTTGATGTTTAGTCTCTTGAACTTCCCGTTCTGTTGGATTTTTTTTATTTGGTCAGTGTTATTAAAATAAACGACTATGTACGCATACCACGCTGCACCTTGGTCCGATCCTTTACACAACGGACGTGACAGAAGATCCCACCACCAACGGACCAAGCAGCGTGGCCAGGAGGTGCAGACATGCTGGACACAGGTGGGGAAAACATTCTGGACATGGGAGGAGATATTGGCCGGTAAGAGACCCTGGGCGAAGGAAGAAGCCCAGGCAGAAGAGAAAAAACGGCGACTCAAAAGGCCCCGATCGCAAGAAAGCCATAGAGGCAGCCCCAAGAAAACACGGGGTGGTTGGCGGAGCAGCAGGAGGCCCTGGAAGGGCTGATTGTGGAGAGGGAGATAGCGATAGAAGAAGCCGCTATGATAGATGCCCTCCAAGACCTGCAGCTCAGTACTCTGAGAGAGGAGACCACCGCCTTATGGGAGCTGTTAGTTAAGAGGGAGCAGGAGCTCTCCCTTCAGAAGGAGGCGCTGCAGGAGGCCCACAGGGAGAAGGAGTCAGTGGATGCACGGAGAGAGGAGCTGGCCAGGCAACAGGAGGAGCTGAGAGAGGAGTTAAACCTCCAACAGCAGAGAGCTCGGTCCTTAGAGCAGAGGCTTGCGGAGCCAGGTTTAGCAGAGCCAACTCCCCGCACTCGCTTTGAGGAGCGTGTGACCGTGCAGGCACCAGGCTATGCACCGGCTTTAAGCACTGTGCCGCCAGTGCGCCTTCACAGACCGGTACGGGCCGTGCCTGCTCCTCGCACCAAACCAGTGGTGCGTGTCTCCAGCCCGGTGCGCCCCATACCTGCTCCTCGCACCAATCCAGTGGTGCGTGTCTCCAGCCTGGTAAGGCCCGTACCTGCTCCTCGCACTAATCCAGTAGTGCGTGTCCCAGCCTGGTAAGGCCTGTACCTGCTCCTCGTACCAAACCAGTGGTGCGTGTCTCCAGTCCGGTACGGCCCGTACCTGCTCCTCGCATCAAACCAGTGGTGCGTGTCTCCAGCCCGGTGCGCCCCGTACCTGCTCCTCGCACCAAACCAGTGGTGCGTGTCTCCACTCAACTTATGATAGCCAGAGGAATAACCACTTTTATTATTTTTTTTTTTTTTATGTGGAGTTAGGGGAGGGGGGGGGGGGGGTAGAAGGATTACTTTATACTATTCCAGGTATTCCTTAAAGAGGTAGGGTTTCAAGTGTCTCCGGAAGGTGGTCAGTGACTCCGCTGTCCTGGTGTCGTGGGGGAGCTTGTTCCACCATTGGGGTGCCAGAGCAGCAAATAGCTTTGACTGGGCTGAGCGGGAACTGTGCTTCCGTAGAGGTAGGGGAGCTAGCAGGCCAGAGGTGGATGAACGTAGTGCCCTCGTTTGGGTGTAGGGTCTGATCAGAGCCTGAAGGTAAGGAGGTGCCGTTCCCCTCACAGCTCCGTAGGCAAGCACCATGGTCTTGTAATAGATGCGAGCCTCAACTGGAAGCCAGTGGAGTGTGCGGAGGAGCGGGGTGACATGAGAGAACTTGGGAAGGTCGAACACCAGACGGGCTGCAGCGTTCTGGATAAGTTGTAGGGGTTTAATGGCACAGGCAGGGAGCCCAGCCAACAGCGAGTTACAGTAATCCAGACGGGAGATGACAAGTGCCTGGATTAGGACCTGTGCCACTTTCTGTGTAAGGTAGGGTCGTACTCTGCGAATGTTGTAGAGCATGAACCTGCAGGATCGGGTCACCGCTTTGATGTTAGCGGAGAACGACAGGGTGTTGTCCAGGGTCACGCCAACGTTCTTTGCACTCTGGGAGGAGGACACAATGGAGTTGTCAACTGTGATGGCGAGATCATGGAGCGGGCAGTCCTTCCCCGGGAGGAAGAGCAGCTCCGTCTTGCCGAGGTTCAGCTTGAGGTGGTGATCCGACATCCACACTGATATGTCTGCCAGACATGCAGAGATGCGATTCGCCACCTGGTTATCAGAAGGGGGAAAGGAGAAAATTATTTGTGTGTCGTCTGCGTAGCAATGATAGGAGAGACCATGTGAGGATATGACAGAGTCAAGTGACTTGGTGTATAGAGAGAATAGGAGAGGGCCTAGAACTGAGCCCTGGGGGACACCAGTGGTGAGAGCACGTGGAGCGGAGACAGATTCTCGCCACGCCAACTGGTAGGAGCGACCTGTCAGGTAGGACGCAATCCAAGAGTGAGCAGCGCCGGAGATGCCCAACTCGGAGAGGGTGGAGAGGAGGATCTGATGGTTCACAGTATCAAAGGCAGCGGATAGGTCTAGAAGGATAAGAGCAGAGGAGAGAGAGTTAGCTTTAGCAGTGCGGAGAGCCTCCGTGACACAGAGAAGAGCAGTCTCAGTTGAATGACCAGTCTTGAAACCTGACTGGTTTGGATAAAGAAGGTAATTCTGAGAGAGATAGCAGGAGAGTTGGCTAGAGACGGCACGCTCAAGAGTTTTGGAGAAAGTTCCTTTCCTGAGGATGGCTCACCCCTCACAGTTCTGGGTGACTTTAACCTCCCTACGTCTACCTTTGACTCATTTCTCTCTGCCTCCTTCTTTCCACTCCTCTCCTCTTTTGACCTCACCCTTTCACCGTCCCCCTCTACTCACAAGCAGGCAATACGCTTGACCTCATCTTTACTAGATGCTGTTCTTCTACTAATCTCACTGCAACTCCCCTCCATGTCTCCGACCACTACATTGTGTCCTTTTCTCTCTCGCTCTCCTCCAACACTACTCACTCTGCCCCTACTCAGATGGTAATGCGCCGTCGCAACCTTCGCTCTCTCTCTCCCGCTACTCTCTCCTCTTCCATCCTATCATCTCTTCCCTCTGCTCAATCCTTCTCCCTCCAATCTCCTGATTCTGCCTCCTCAACCCTCCTCTCCTCCCTTTCTGCATCCTTTGACTCTCTATGTCCCCTATCCTCCCGGCCGGCTCGGTCCTCCACTCCTGCTCCGTGGCTTGACGACTCATTGCGAGCTCACAGAACAGGGCTCTGTGCAGCCGAGCGGAAATGGAGGACAACTAGACTCCCTGCGGACCTGGCATCTTTTCACTCCCTCCTCTCTACATTTTATTCCTCTGTTTCTGCTGCTAAAGCCACTTTCTACCACTCTAAATTCCAAGCATCTGCCTCTAACCCTAGGAAGCTCTTTGCCACCTCCTCCCTGCTGAATCCTCCTCCCCCCGCCCCCCCCCTCCTCCCTTTCTGTGGATGACTTCGTCAATCATTTTGAAAAGAAGGTTGACGACATCCGATCCTCGTTTGTTAAGTCAAATGACACTGCTGGTCCTGCTCACACTGCCCTACCTTATGCTTTGACTTCTTTCTCCCCTCTCTCTCCAGATGAAATCTTGCGACTTGTGACGGACGGCCGCCCAACAACCTGCCCACTTGACCCTATCCCCTCCTCTCTTCTCCAGACCATCTCCGGTGACCTTCTCCCTTACCTCACCTCGCTCATCAACTCATCGTTGACCGCTGGCTATGTCCCTTCCGTCTTCAAGAGAGCAAGAGTTGCACCCCTTCTCAAAAAACCTAAACTCGATCCCTCCGATGTCAACTACAGACCAGTATCCCTTCTTTCTTTTCTCTCCAAAACTCTTGAGCGTGCCGTCTTTAGCCAACTCTCTTGCTATCTCTCTCAGAATTACCTTCTTGATCCAAACCAGTCAGGTTTCAAGACTGGTCATTCAACTGAGACTGCTCTTCTCTGTGTCACAGAGGCTCTCCGCACTGCTAAAGCTAACTCTCTCTCCTCTGCTCTTGTCCTTCTAGACCTGTCTGCTGCCTTTGATACTGTGAACCATCTGATCCTCCTCTCCACCCTCTCCGAGTTGGGCATCTCCGGCGCGGCTCACTCTTGGATTGCGTCCTACCTGACAGGTCGCTCCTAACAAGTGGCGTGGCGAGAATCTGTCTCCGCACCACGTGCTCTCACCACTGGTGTCCCCCAGGACTCAGTTCTAGGCCCTCTCCTATTCTCGCTATAAACCAAGTCATTTGGCTCTGTCATATCCTCACATGGACTCTCCTATCATTGCTACGCAGACGACACACAACTAATCTTCTCGTTTCCCCCTTCTGATAACCAGGTGGCGAATCGCATCTCTGCATGTCTGGCAGACATATCAGTGTGGATGACGGATCACCACCTCAAGCTGAAACTCGGCAAGACGGAGCTGCTCTTCCTCCCGGGGAAGGACTGCCCGTTCCATGATCTTGCCATCACGGTTGACAACTCCGTTGTGTCCTCCTCCCAGAGTGCGAAGACCCTTGGCGTGACCCTGGACAACACCCTGTCGTTCTCCGCTAACATCAAGGCGGTGACCCAATCCTGTAGGTTCATGCTCTACAACATTCGGAGAGTACGACCCTGCCTTACACAGGAAGCGGAACAGGTCCTAATCCAGGCACTTGTCATCTCCCATCTGGATTACTGCAACTCGCTGTTGGCTGGGCTCCCTGCCTGTGCCATTAAACCCCTACAACTCATCCAGAATGCTGCAGCCCGTCTGGTGTTCAACCTTCCCAAGTTCTCTCACGTCACCCCGCTCCTCCGCACACTCCACTGGCTTCCAGTTGAAGCTCGCATCTGCTACAAGACCACGGTGCTTGCCTACGGAGCTGTGAGGGGAACGGCACCTCCTTACCTTCAGGCTCTGATCAGTCCCTACACCCAGTAAACTCATGGCCTAAAACCTAAACCCCAAACATCAAGCAATGCAGATGTAGAAGCACGGTGGCTAGGAAAAACTCCCTAGAAAGGCAGAAACCTAGGAAAAAACCTAGAGAGGAACCAGGCTCTGAGGGTGGTCAGTCCCCTTCTGGCTGTGCCGGGTGGAGATTATAACAGTACATGGCCATTAAGGCCAGATTTTTCTCCAAGATATTCAAACCTTCGTAGATGACCAGCAGGGTCAAATAATAATCACAGTGGTTGTAGAGGTTGCAACAGGTCCAGAAGGTGAGGTCAGTACAGGTGCATCAAAGCTGGGACCGAGAGAATGAAAAACAGCTTCTATCTCAAGGCCATCAGACTGTTAAATAGCCATCACTAGCACATTAGAGGCTGCTGCTGCCTATTGAAATCACTGGCCATTTTAAGAAATCGAACACTAGTCACTTTAATAATGTTTACATATCTTGCATTACTCATCTCATATGTATATACTGTATTCTATAATATTCTACTGTATCTTAGTCCATGCCGATCTGTCATTGCTCATCCATATATGTATATATTCTTAATTCCATTCCTTACTTAGATTTGTGTGTATTGGGTATATGTTGTGAAATTGTTAGATATTACTTGTTAGATATTACTGCACTGTCGGAGATAGAAGCACAAGCATTTCGCTACACCCGCAAAAACATCTGCTAAACACGTGTATGTGACAAATAAAATTGTATTTTATTTGAACAGGTCAGTTCATCAGGAGTAAATGTAACTTGGCTTCTCATAGAGGTTGAAAAAGCAGGTGCGGTAGAGAGAGAGAGAGTTGAAAACAGCAGGTCTGGGACAAGGTAGCACGTCCGGTGAACAGGTCAGGGTTCCAAAGCCGCAGGCAGAAGAGTGGAAACTGGAGCAGCTGCACGACCAGGTGGACTGGGGACAGCAAGGAGTCATCAGGCCAGGAAGTCCTGAGGCATGGTCCTAGTGCTCAGGTCCTCCGGGAGGGGAGGGAGAGAGGGAGAGAGAGAGATAATTAGAGGGAGCATACTTAAATTCACACAGGACACCGGATAAGACAGGAGAATAACACCAGATATAACAGACTGACCCTAGCTCCCCGGCACATAGACTATTGCAGCATAGATACTGGAGGCTGAGACAGGGGGGGGGTCGGGAGACACTGTGGCCCCGTCCGACGATACCCCCGGACAGGGCCAACCAGCCAGGATATAACCAGGTATGACTGAACCGTGAAACCTTCCGACTGAAGCCTTGCTCCCCTCAACCCCTATCGAGGATCCCAACAGGCCAGGGAGAGTAGGATGTTGTGCTCTCTGTCCCAAGATGTCATGTAGGATTCAACGGCTTGAGCCATCGACCTACTGGCAATCATGGGGAATTAAGGGATTTCGCGCTGACGAAAGACCAGGCCAATACGCAACGCAGACCGTACGCAATACACATCTACTCGCCCATCGGCATGACAACGGTAGAGATGAAAAGATGTGATACAACACAGCCACTCTTTTCCCTCTTTCTCAACACACTCCGGATTAAAAGAGGACACTCCAGAGGGCCATTAAATGGCAGAACATCCACTTCAAACATTCTATCCAGGACAAGATGGAACCATAACAACAGGGACCCGCCAAATGGCTCGCCCTGCTCTAAACGGACAGAATCCAGACCATTCATATGGAATCAGGAGAAGATTATTGTTAACACCAAAAACCTTGCTTTTTGGGAGAAATCATTACATAAGGTTCTAGGCAGGGAGACAAGAAGTGTACTGATGTATGCTATGATCATTGTGTGCTGTAGAAATGTTAAATTATATTGTGTATTCACCCAATTGTGAATTAATTATCTCTATTTCAAGGAGAACATGTAATGTTTTGTATCATTACGTAGGGAACATTATGCCCTGAACAATGACCCACCTTTCCTGGTTGTACAAAGGATTTATCCATCAATAACGGAAACAATATTAAATTCCCTAAGGACAGGGACTCTTCTCCCTGGGGCTGGGTGCACCTCCGGCTAAGAGAGACCACGGAACGTTTCAGCCAATCAGGCAAGGGGCCTCAGCACCTAGCCCCGCCCTCACTGTCCATTCAAACTGAACCATAAAAGCTTAGCACCAATAATAGCCCCGCCGAACGAAATCCTTCTGCTCAGACTTCAGCGTAGTTGGTAACTGGAACGCTCCCTTGCTTATTGACCCCCCCCCCCCCACCCCGATCTCAATGAGTGAAGGCCAAACACCATTATTGGAATTTCAATGATTGTCCTCTGCTCTAGCTTCAATCTTAGTGGGACAAGACACCAATCCAGAACTGATTGAACAAGGACTTTCTCCCTTTTTTGCATAGAAAGGAAGTTTGGGAATCTGACCAGAGATTGAGCTACAAATTCCACGTATGCACATTAATTCAATGTGGCCTCCTTTAATCCCTACTTGGTGTGAGTGTGTAAAACTGTGTGTACCTCAATACTGCTTAGGATATCTCTCGTAAATTCCCTGCTTTGTCTCGTTTAGAACCATCATTAAATAATTGCTTGTCCTATCCTTGTGAGTTAAAATAAACCCTCCTCTCCTTTCCCACTTGCTAACTACTTCATCATTGCTTATCATTTTGCCATAATCTGTCACTCATTCATTTATCCTGTGTAATGTAGTATTATCTTGCTTTTATAATAAATCTTAATTTTATAAAATAGTATCACTGTCGCTGAGATTCAAACCCATTGAATAACAGATTCACTACATGGAACAACAGATAGTCCCCCCAAAAAATCTGAAGGAAGTTTGTTATGAAGTGTCTGTCCAAATCTCTCAGATATAGGACAGACACTTCATAACAAACTTCCTTATGATTTTTTTTGGGACTATCTGTTGTTCCATGTAGTGAATCGGTTATTCAATGGGTTTGAATCTCAGAGACAGTGATACTATTTTTTTATCCCCTTATTTTAGGCACTAAACTATCTCCATATATACAGTTGAAGTAGGAAGTTTACATATACCTTAGCCAAATACATTTAAACTCCGTTTTTCACAATTCCTGACATATAATCCTAGTAAACATTCCCTGTCTTAGGTCAGTTAGGATCACCACCTTATTTTAAGAATGTGAAATGTCAGATTAATAATAGAGAGAATGATTTATTTCAGCTTCTATTTCTTTCATCACATTCCCAGTGGGTCGGAAGTTTACATACACTCAATTAGTATCTGGTAGCATTGCCTTTAAATTGTTTAACTTGGGTCAAACATTTCGGGTAGCCTTCCACAAGCTTCCCACAATAAGTTGGGTGAATTTTGGCCCATTCCTCCTGACAGAGCTGGTGTAACTGAGTCAGGTTTGTAGGCCTCCTTGCTCGCACACGCTTTATAAGTTCTGCTCACAAATGTTCTGTGGATTGTGGTCAGGGCTTTGTGATAGCCACTCCAATACCTTGACTTTGTTGTCTTTAAGCCATTTTGCCACAACTTTTGCGACCAAGCTTTAACTTCCTGACTGATGTCTTGAGATGTTGCTTCAATATATCCACATAATTTTCCTTCCTCATGATGCCATCTATTTTGTGAAGTGCACCAGTCCCTCCTGCAGCAAAGCACCCCCACAGCATGATGCTGCCACCCCCGTGCTTCACGGTTGGGATGGTTTTCTTCGGCTTGCAAGCAACCCCCTTTTTCCTCCAAACATAACGATCGATGGTCATTATGGCCAAACAGTTCTATTTTTGTTTCATCAGACCAGAGGACATTTCTTTAAAAAGTACGATCTTTGTCCCCATGTGCAGTTGCAAACCGTAGTCTGGCTTTTTTTATGGCGGTTTTGGAGCAGTGGCTTCTTCCTTGCTGAGCGGCCTTTCAGGTTATGTCGACATAGGACTCGTCTTACTGTGGATATAGATATGTTTGTACCTGTTTCCTCCAGCATCTTCACAAGGTCCTTTTCTGTTGTTCTGGGATTGATTTGCACTTTTCGCACCAAAGTACGTTCATCTCTAGGAGACAGAACGCGTCTCCTTCCTGAGCAGTATGACGGCTGCGTCGACCCATGGTGTTTTTACTTGCGTACTATTGTTTGTACAGATGAACGTGGTACCTTCAGGCGTTTGGAAATTGCTCCCAAGGATGAACCAGACATGTGGACGTCTACCATGTTTTTTCTGAGGTCTTGGCTGATTTCTTTTGATTTTCCCATTATGTCAAGCAAAGAGGCACTGAGTTTGAAGGTAGGCCTTGAAATACATCCACAGGTACACCTCCAATTGACTCAAAGCTTCTAAAGCCATGACATCATTTCTGAAAATGTCCAAGCTGTTTAAAGGCACAGTCAACTTAGTGTATGTAAACTTCTGACCCACTGGAATTGTGATACAGTGAATTATAAATGAAATAATCTGTCTGTAAAGAATTGTTGGAAAAATTACTTGTGTCATGCACAAAGTAGATGTCCTAACTGTCTTGCCAAAACTATAGTTTGTTAACAAGAAATGTGTGGAGTGGTTTTAATGACTCCAACCTAACTGTATGTAAACTTCTGACTTCAACTGTACTTCCATTCATTTTTTAAACTGTTACCGGGACCTTCAGATGAGTCTTGTGAGGCTCGTGGAACAGTATCACGTTCATGAGAGGCTCCGCTTTCAATAGAGTGGTCATACTACTTTGTAGGCCAAACCCGGACCTGAATTTTGAGATGTCTCATGGTCTGACAAAGATTGCTCTAGCTTGGCCACCTTTCACCGGAGATTTGGAAGGGCGATATCGGCGGATGCGGTAGATGAGATTTAGCCCCCCCAAAAAATCTCTACTTACAGATTTTGATTAGGATTTAAAAAATGTTTTTATTAGATTTCTGCAGGGGCGCAACCATTGTAGGCCAAGGGTTAATTAGATATTATCATAATGTTAGGCTACTCCCTTATGACATGTTTGACCAACAGGGTTTGAATGGTGTGTGTGTGTGTGTGTGTGTGTGTGTGTGTTTGTGTGTGTGTGTGTGCGTGAATGCAAGTGCGTGCAAGGCAATCGCATGCGTCGTGTGTGTGTGTGTGTCTCCTGGAGGTTTACAGCATGCTAAAGGCCTGACATGAACCAGAGTTGTACAATAGTAGTAGGATATTATTTTCATGTACAATGTGTTGTTTAGTGAGTTAATAAAAAAAGAGTCTATTGACACACCCCTGTGTCAATCTAAGTAACATAATTTAAAAAATCCCCATCTTCTCAGTCCACCGCATTCGCCTATGTCAGCCTTCCACATCTGCAGTGGAAAGTAGCCAAGCTACAGCTATGGTTGTCAGACCATGAGACAACCCGAAAATCTGTCTTCTCACGAAAACGTCTGTAGCTTCCGAACGGTTTGGGCTACACACTAATATACCACTCTATGGAAATATGAGATTCTCACAAACACGATGTTGTTCTCCGTTTTGCTCTACTACCCCCACAAGTGTCACGGGACCTGTCTGAAGGTAACCTGGTACCGGTTTAAAAAATGGAAGTATGGATGTCATTTTGTGTCAACAAATTTGTCTTATGTCGCCTAGATATAGGACAGACACAAAACCTTATTCCTTATAATACATTTTTGGACTGTCTGTTTTGCCATTTATGCCTGTGTTATTCAATGCGTTTCTATGGGCTAAAGTAAAGGCCAAATTCAATATTTTTGATATATACCTACAGGGGTCCTACATTTCTAAATCAAATAACTAAATGATCCATGGTATGACTATCTTAAAACAATTCTGTATGTTAGCTTAGTAGAACCCACTATATCCCATGTCATGGCAAGGGAAACTGTTTGAGAATTGTTGTGTGTGTGTGTGTGTGTGTGTGTACTTATGCGTGTGTGTGCTTTCGGAAAGTTAACACCTCTGGAATGCCCCCTGCAGAGCCTGGACTTCAGGGTTGGACGTGTGTTTATTGGAGCGTTTTGGCAGGAAGAGCCGGCCAGAATAACGGAACAAAACTGGAATGTGGAATGTAGGGAATATCCCGAGTCAAAGACAAGGCATTTTGGGGGGTTTTGGGGAGGAAAGCAAAGGGCAGATGTGTTCAAGCTGTGTTTTCCATCAGTTAAATGACACAAATGCCAACTTTGTAGTAAGGTACCTACCCCCTATGAGTCGTTAGGAGAACCCTGGAACATCACAAAATGGTCAGGACGTTGTGTCATGGTCCCCTGGAGGTTTTGTCTAGTTCCTGGTTGGTCCCAGAGACATCACCTTATGGTCACAAAGAAACGTCCCCCCACCCCAATTTCATTACACATTACCTCTTGCAACTGTTGCCAAGCCCATCAAGGCCCTGATTGGTGAACCACTGAGCCATTAAATTGTTTTAACCTTTATTTTAACAGGGAAGACATTCCCAGCTCTTTGTCTTTTGACAATGCTAGGGAAATAGTTTTTTTTACATATTTGAGACACATTGACAAACATGATTACAGTCTTTACCTGGGATTTGAACTCACAACCTCTTGGTTCACAGCATTCCGACTGTCACGTCTCCTCCCGTTGCTCCCCTCCGGTGCTCTGATTCGCCGGTCTACTGAGCCACCACCTCTGCAACACAGGAATGGAAACCTAACGCACCCTAATCACCTCCAGCGCACCTGCATCTCATCACCACCCCTTTATAGCCCTGGACTGTTCAGTCATTGTTGTGTGTAATTGTTAGTGTCGTGTCGTTTACTCGCTCCTTGTTATTCTCTTTCTCATTGTTAAGTAAACCTTTACCTTGTTGATTCCTGCGTCTGCGTCCTGCCTCTTCGTATCCTCAGTACTCGTCACACCGACCTTCCTGCTACGCCACCGTGTCTATATCAATGACTGATTTCACCTGTAGGCCCATTCCTACACTTTGCACTTCAAGGAAAATATCAGCTCTGTTAAATACACTTAAGAAAAACAGAACAATATGCCCCACTAACATTAAACAACTATACTGAAAACCCAAACTCATGTTGCTGAAATAAGTAAATGCAATCAATAAAAGAAGAGTCAGATTAACTAAAATTGCAGTGCAGATGGCACTATTTTGCTAAGCGCAGATATGTTTTATACCTAATGAATGTGTAAGGGACTTTTGAAATTCTACAGACAGATCAGCATTCCCCTAAATCCAGAGGTTGTTCAAATCCCAGTTGGGGTCATATTAAAAAGACAGTACTAAGTGATCATGTCAGATGTAATCATATTGTCATTGATTTATGGGGCGGCAGGTAGCTTAGTGGTTAAGAGCGTTGTGCCAGTAACCGAAAGGTCGCTGGTTCTAATCCCCAAGCCGACTAAGTTAAAAATCTGTCGATGTGCCCTTGAGCAAGGCACTTAACCTTAATTGCTCTTGTAAGTCGCTCTGGATAAGAGCGTCTGCTAAATGACTAAAATGATTTAAGTTTTTACACTAATTTAGCTGAACAGCGTAAAACTTACCTTAAAACCCCCATTCCATTTAGTTACTTTACTTATAATGGTTTGGGATACATGGGACCATCACGTGACAAAAACCTCCAGGGGACCATGACACAATGTCCTACAAACGTTTTCGGGGCAAACTGGGAACAAGAAAAAAACCAGGGGACCATGAAACAACTTCCCAAGAACGTCCTAAAAATTGTGATGGTTCCCTTGGGACCATCACAAACCGGGAACTAGACAAAGCCTCCAAGGGGCCATGACTCAACGTCCCAAGAACATCCTAAAAACGTCCTCTGGAAAACTGGGAACTAGAAAAAGGTCCCTCAGAGAACATTCCCTTGCGACCATCACACAACATCCTAAGGACTAGTAAAATGAAAGTCCTGATAACATCTTAAAAAGGTCCTAGACAAAGGTCCTGTAGAGGATTCTTTGCACAGTTCTGATATTCTCTCATTCTTAAACAAACCTTAAGCTTTAGAAAATGACACAGACGACTTCTGAGTATATACAGTCCCTTGCAAAAGTATTCACCCCCCCTAGGCTTCTTTCCTATTTTGTTGTCTTACAACCTGTAATTTAAATGGATTTTTATATGGACCCCATCAGTGTGGATGTTGGATCACCACCTCAAGCTGAACCTCGGCAAGACAGAGCTGCTCTTCCTCCCTTGGAAGGACTGCCCGCTCCATGATCTCGCCATCATGGTGGACAACTCCATTGTGTCCTCCTCCCAGAGTGCAAAGAACCTTGGACAACACCCTGTTGTTCTCCGCTAACATCAAAGCGGTGACCCGATCCTGCAGGTTCATGCTCTACAACATTCGCAGAGTACGACCCTCCCTTACACTTGTCATCTCCCATCTGGATTACTGCAACTCGCTGTTGGCTGGGCTCCCTGCCTGTGCCATTAAACCCCTACAACTTATCCAGAATGCTGCAGCCCGTCTGGTGTTCAACCTTCCCAAGTTCTCTCATGTAACCCCGCTCCTCCGCACACTCCACTGGCTTCCAGTTGAGGCTCGCATCTACTACAAGACCATGGTGCTTGCCTACGGAGCTCTGTGGGGAACGGCACCTTCTTACCTTCAGGCTCTGATCAGACCATACACCCAAACAAGGGCAGTACGTTCATCCACCTCTGGACTGCTAGCCCCCCTACCTCTACGGAAGCACAGTTCCCGCTCAGCCCAGTCAAAGCTATTCGCTGCTCTGGCACCCCAATGGTGGAACAAGCTCCCCTACGATGCCAGGACAGCGGATTCACTGACCCCTTCCGGAGACACTTGAAACACTACCACTTTAAGGAATATCTGGACTAGTATAAAAGTAATCCTTCTATCCCCCCCACTCCCCCACCCCCCCCATAAAAAAAAGTGGTTGTCCCACTGGCTATCATAAGTTGAATGCACCAATTTGTAAGTCGCTCTGGATAAGAGCATCTGCTAAATGACGTAAATGTAAATGTAATGGACATACACAAAATAGTCCAAATTGGTGAAGTGGAATGAAAAAAATTACTTATTTCAAGAACTTAAAAAAATAAATAAAAAGGAAAAGTGGTGCGTGCATATGTATCCACCCCCTTTGCTATGAAGCCCCTAAATAAGAACTGGTGCAACCAATTACCTTCAGAAGTCACATAATTAGTTAAAGTCCACCTTGTGTGCAATTAAGTGTCACATGATCTCAGTATATATACACGTGTTCTGAAAGGCCCCAGAGTCTGCAACACCACTAAGCAAGGGGCACCACCAAGCAAGCGGCACCATGAAGACCAATGAGATCTCCAAACAGGTCAAGGACAAAGTTGTGGAGAAGTACAGATCAGGGTTGGGTTATAAAAAAAAACTTTGAACATCCCACGGAGCACCAGTGAATCCATTATACATTTTTTTTGAAAGAATATGGCACCACAACAAACCTGCCAAGAGAGGGCCGCCCACCAAAACTCACGGGCCAGGCAAGGAGGGCATTAATCAGAGAGGCAACAAAGAGACCAAAGATAACTCTGAAGGAGCTGCAAAGCTCCACAGCGGAGATTGGAGAATCTGTCCATAGAACCACTTTAAGCCGTACACTCCACAGAGCTGGGCTTTACGGAAGAGTGGCCAGAAAAAAGCCATTGCTTAAAGAAAGAAATAAGCAAACACGTTTGGTGTATGCCAAAAGGCAATGTTTGGCGCAAAACCAAAACCTCTTGTCACCCCGAGAACACCATCCCCACAGTGAAGCATGGTGGTGGCAGCATCATGCCGTGGGGATGTTTTTCATCGGCAGAGACTGGGAAACTGGTCAGAATTGAAGGAATGATGGATGGCGCTAAATACAGGGAAATTCTTGAGGGAAACCTGTTTCAGTCTTCCAGAGATTTGAGACTGGGACAGAGGTTCACCTTCCAGCAGGACAATGACCCTAAGCATAATGCTAATGCAACACTCGAGTGGTTTAAGGGGAAACATTTAAATGTCTTGGAATGGCCTAGTCAAAGCCCAGACCTCAATCCAATTGAGAATCTGTGGTATGACTTAAAGATTGCTGTACACCAGCAGAACCCATCCAACTTAAGGGATGTAGCTCAGTTGGTAGAGCATGGCGTTTGCAACGCCAGGGTTGTGGGTTCGATTCCCACGGGGGGCCAGTATGAAAAATAAAATAAAAATAATGTATGCACTCACTAACTGTAAGTCGCTCTGGATAAGAGCGTCTGCTAAATGACAAAAAATGTAAATGTAAATGTAAAACTTGAAGGAGCTGGAGCAGTTTTGCCTTGAAGAAGGGGGGGGGGGGTATTTGTATTTGTTTTTATTATGGATCCCCATTAGTCCGGCCGCCCCTGCTCTGCCAAGGCAGCAGCTACTCTTCCTGGGGTCCTGCAAAATTAAGGCAGTTATATATTTTAAACATTACAATACATTCACAACAGATTTCACAACATATTAAGTGCGTGCCCTTAGTATTGATTGCTCTGTGATGTACTACTCTGACCTGGCGTACCTTCAAGTCAGCAGCGTGAGTTTCGCCTCCTCAGTCTTTTTTGATTCTACTGAGGAGAGGTATCGTTCACATGTACGCAAATGTAAATATGGTAAACAAGTCCAAACTTCATGTACATTTGATAGAATGTATTCCAACATTGTTGTGTTGCTAGCGAACCTTTTGTGACAAAATATTATTCTGTTGAAAGAGTTCTACCGAGTGGTGCAATGTTAGGCTAGCTAGCTACAGTACATGCTAGCAGGCTGTCTGTAGCTTCCCTCATGCAGACACTCGATCACTTTACTTTTCCATACGTTAGGTGTGCCCTGTGTGCAGCATTGAGAAGCTCACCATTAATTTCATTGCATTTATTTAATCCAATCCTGGTATGTTGGTCTACAGTTATATTGTTATGTCTACTGCATTAATATGTGGCTAGTTTGTCACTATTTATAGTATAGAAGGTGGTCTTTTGAATGTAGAGCTTTTATCTGAACTATTTTATTTTTCTACATATTGTAAGACTATTATTACTTTTGAGTAATGGTACTACGTCAATTAAATATTTGTATCCATTGAATTATCCATTGAACGTACAGTATCTCAGTCTGTTTTGATTCTACTGAGGAGAGATGTGCACTGTGTGCAGCATTACTTTCATTGCATTTATTTAATCCTATTCAGATAAATAAAAGACCAGAAACCAGCAACTAATGTCCAGAGTCCTGTTCCGACACCAACACAACAAAACACAATGCAGAAAAGTAGCCAGACTGGCTACTCTAGGTGTCACACCCTAATCTGTTTCACCTGTCTTTGTGATTGTCTCCACCCCCCTCCAGGTGTCGCCCATCTTCCCCATTATCCCCATTGTATTTATACCTTTGTTCTTTGTTTGTTTTGTTTTGTCAAGCCTACCAGCGTTTTTCCCCTTGCTCCTGTCTTTCTCAAGTTCCTGTTTTCTAGTTTTCCCAGTTTTGACCATTCTGCCTGCCCTGACCCTGAGCCTGCCTGCCGTTCTGTACCTTTTGGACTCTGATCTGGATTACTGACCTCTGCCTGCCCTTGACCTGTCGTTTGCCTGCCCCATGTTTTTGGAATAAACTTCTGTTACTTCGACACTGTCTGCATCTGGTCTTCTCCTGAAACGCGGTAGTATGAACTGGCCATGACTGACCCAGCAGACTCGGACCAGCTCCGCAACGACATCTCCTCCCAAGGAGCCACCATTGGAAGGCACGAGGAGTTTCTTCGTGGTCTCATGGAAGGGTTCCATACCTTGGCCGAACGCCATGACCGAGCGTTTAACAGATTGCTGGAGCAATTCTGCGGGTTGTATGTTAGGCAGCCTACCACGAGGGTAACCTCCCAGCCCCTCAGTAACCCGGCTGTTAGCAGCGCAGCCTCCCCAGCCACCCCGGTTTCCCGAGAACCCTGCTTACCTCCCTCGGAACGCTTCGCTGGAGAGTCGGGAACCTGCCGGGCATTTCTCACTCAGTGTTCGCTCACCATCAAGCTGCAGCCCTCCTCCTTCCCCTCGGACTGCTCTAAGATAGCGTACCTCATCACGCTGATGTCCGGGAGGGCTCTCGCCTGGGCTACAGCAGTGTGGGAACAACAGTCGACCGTATGCTTCAGTCTGGAGGTGTTCATGCAGGAGTTAAAGAAGGTTTTCGATGCTCCATTGTCCGGGAGAGAGGCTTCCCGGAAGTTACTCCAGCTTCGGCAAGAATCCCGCAGTGTGGCAGACTATGCAGTGGATTTCCACACGTTGGCAGCTGAGTGTGCCTGGATCCCGGAAGCGCTGTTCGACACGTTCCTGCATGGAGTATCGGAGGAAGTAAAGGACGAGCTTGCAGACCGGGAACTACCAATGGATCTCGACTCGCTCATCGCCTTGACCATTCGGATCGATGGGCGACTACGGAAACTAAGGAAGGAGAGGAAGGATTCCACCTCGCCTCCAAGGCAATCTGGAAGTCCCCGACGGCTCCGTTGCCGAGAGAACCCGAGGCTACCCAAGTTCTCTCGAGAGTCTCCGAAGTCTGCAGATCCACCTCTTCCCGAGCCGATGCAACTAGGCAGAGCTAGGCTGTCTCCAGCCAAACGACAATACAGGCTTCACACAAAGAGTTGCCTGTATTGCGGGACTACTGGTCATTTTGTGTCCACCTGTCCACTAAAAGCAGGCTCACCGGTAGGTGCGAGTACTCTGATGGGCCATACGGATAACTTTTCCTCTCCCCTTACTCGCACTCCTTTTCATGCCATCTTGCTGTGGGGGAACCAGTCGAAATCTCTCTGGGTACTCATCGACTCTGGGGCCGATGAGAGCTTTATGGACACTACCCTGGCGTCCGAGCTGGGCATCCCCACTCAACCCCTCTCCATTCCCATGGACGTTAGAGCGCTGGACGGGCGCTCTATAGGCCGGGTCACCCACAATACCACCCCCATCAACCTACAAGTATCAGGGAACCACAGCGAGACGATCAAATTCCTGCTAATTAAGTCTCCTCAGGTTCCCTTGGTATTGGGTTTCTCTTGGCTCCAGCGTCATTGACTGGTCTACTGGTGCCATCATGGGCTGGAGCCCGTTCTGACACACTCATTGCCTGAAGTCAGCACAGCCTGAGATGGCCCAGCTCGTGGTGCAGCACGTCTTCCGGATCCATGGACTGCCAGTGAACATGGCCTCGGACCGGGATCCTCAGTTATCATCCCGGTTCTGGAAGGCGTTCTGCACACTCATTGGGTCGTCGGCCAGCCTGTCCTCCGATTTCCACCTTCAGTCCAACGGCCAGTCGGAGCGAGCCAATCAAGACCTGGAGACAACTCTGTGCTGCCTGGTCTCCGCCAACCCTACCACCTGGAGCCAGCAACTAGTGTGGGTCGAATACACCCGCAACACCCTTCCCTGCTCTGCCACGGGTCTTTTGCCCTTTGAATGTTCCCTGGGTTATCAGCTCAGAGGAAGAGGTCGGCATACCCTCGGCCCAGATATATTGGCCGCTGCTGTCATCGTACCTGGAGGAGAGCCCGGTTGGCTCTTCTGAAGACCACCTCCAGGTATCGATGACAAGCGGACCGCCACCGGACCCCGGCTCCCTAGTATCTTCGCGGGAAGAAGGTATGGCTGTCCACCCAAGATCTGCCCCTCCGGGTGGAGTCCCGGAAACTTTACCCCCGTCACTTTCCCAATCTCCAAGTTCATTAGCCCCTCTGCTTTTCATCTTCTGTTGCCCCGTACCCTCCATATACATCCCACTTTTCATGTGTCTAGGATCAAACCCATGTCTCACAGCCCTTTGTTTCCTGTTTCCAGGCCCACCCCTCTCTCCCGTCTCATCAACGTCCAACCGGCGTACAAGGTGAGTTGTCTCCTGAAGGTTCAACCCCGGGGCAGGGGATTCCAGTACCTGGTTGACTGGGAGGGTTATGGCCCAGAGGAGAGGTGCTGGGTCCCCACTAGGGACATCCTGGACCCAGGCCTCATTGCTGAGTTTCAACCCTGGCACCCCGGTCAACCAGGTATGCGCCCAGGTAGGATGTCAGGTGGCCAGTTCGTTTTGTTTCGTCAAGCCTACCAGCGTTTTTCCGCTTGCTCCTGTCTTTCTCAAGTTCCTGTTTTCTAGTTTTCCCGGTTTTGACAACTCTACCTGCCCTGACCCTGAGACTGCCTGCCGTTCTGTACCTTTTGGACTCTGATCTGGATTACTGACCTCTGCCTGCCCTTGATCTGTCGTTTGCCTGCCCCCTGTTTTTGTAATAAACTTTTTTACTTCGACACTGTCTGCATCTGGGTCTTCTCCTGAAACGTGATACTAGGTAGTCCTGTATTGCCACAATATTCCAGTGTATCGGCACCACAAAGAAAAATCCTGCTCTTTATGGTACAAGCATGAAACTTGGGAAACGTGGTACATACTAGACACCATCATCACCATCGTCATCACCTATCATTTTCACTCGGAGAGAGCCTGAAATCTAGGTAATTATGTACCAGTCCCAGTTGTGTAGTTTTCTAAAACAAACTGGTCACTAAGTGATCCTTAGAAAATGTTGCTTATCAAATATTAGAGAAGGTGAAAATCATATTCACATAAACAACTGAAAATATACATGCTTATCAATTCCTAAACCAAAGGAGTGGAAGACATTCTGCAAAACCTCTCACAAACCAAATGATTAATTCATTGAAATGTTAGGTGGTTCATCTCCTTCTCCCTCCACTTGCCAGCTGATGTGATGTCGGTGGTAGTGTGTTTGTGTGCTTATGTGTTTGAGTCTTTCACTCTGTGTTTGTATGTATGTATGCGTGTGTGTGAGAACATTAAGTGTTGGTGCTTTCTCTCCAGGCGGTGTGCATTAGGCCGAATGCCACGCACCTTTGCCCACCACTCTCCTCCCACACCATAGCGCCTGTACACAGAGGGCACAACACAAGCCCTAGCTGCAACCAGTCTGATAAAGGCGAATCTCATTGATGTTTGAGCTTGCTAGCTGTAGAGAGGCGTGAGGACCAGTGACGAGACATCTCTGACAATGCCTCTGTGTTAACTGTGTTAGCCTTGGAGTTAGCATTGGGTTAGAATTACTAATGTAGTGCTGAATTGTAATGGGAGAGCATGGAGTGCAGACTATGGCTATGTTATTCATGTTTTTGTGGTTCTAGTGTTCTCTCTCTTTCTCTCTCTCTCTCTCCCCTCGCTCTCTCTCTCTCTTTGTGTGTGTTTGTTCTGATGCATACTTATTTTCCTTACTATCAAAAGAACAGTTGTCTAACTCAAAACAGTTATCTGCTGTTCAAGTGCCTTCAACCGAGAAAACCATGTGCTTCCTTCAACTGAGAAAACCATGTGCAGTTAAAAAAGTCAGGGACCCGATTTGGAATACATTTCTGAAACATGTTTAGAATGTGTACCTTAACTTTCAACTTTATACTCATCCCCCCTCACCAAATGATAAATCGTTGATCTGTTTTTTGTGTCACACCATAATTATTTTTTACCTGAATACAAATTTGAATCATCAACAGACCTGTATCCACCTCACCCCACACAGCACTGCACATTTCTTTACACCACAGACGGAAAATTAAACAAATGCCACTGTAATACTGTACCTGCTTTCCACAAACATTCCACCAGCTTTGTTTGACTTTTTTGTCATCTTGAACAAGCTGTCGAACAGTACTGTATGTGTATTATCTGGATCAAGTGGCTTTAGAGGGAGGGGGAGAGGGGCTGCTCCCCACATTCTCCCTCTGTTTCCCTCTCTCTTTCAATGTGTACCCCTCTCTCTTTCTTTCTCAGCCCCCCACCTCTCTCTCTTTATGTTCAGTCTCCCTCCCTCCTCCTCTTCCCTGAAATGGCCATGAGAGAGAGAGAGGTTACATTCTTCCAAATCCACAGGGGGATCAATAAGGAACATCTGGGACAGACAGGGCGCCTTTTGTTTAGAGAGAGAGAGAGAGAGAGATAGATCCTGGCGCGACTAGCTCTTAGGAAACTTAGCAGTATTTTTTTTATTTGTATGTATTATATTTTAGATTATTAGCTCAGAAAGTGTTTTGCATCATTACATACAGCCGGGAAAAACTATTGGATATCAGAGCGGCGGTAACTCACCAGCATTACGACCAGGAATACGACTTTCCCGAAGCAGATCTTTGTTTGCTCTCCCCAGGGCAACTGAACTGATTCCAGTGGCTGACCCAAAACATCACCGGCGGAGGAGAGGCACTCGGAGCACACCACCCACCGCTTCCAAGTATTCTACTCGCTAATGTTCAGTCTTTGGTTAACAAGGTCGACGAACTACGGGCAAGGATTTCTTTCCAGAGAGACATGAAGGCCTGTAACATACTCTGTTTCAGGGAAACATGGCTCTCTTGGGATATTCTGTCGGAATCGGTCCAGCCAGTGCAGACAGGAATAAATACAGTGGGGAGAACAAGTATTTGATACACTGCCGATTTTGCAGGTTTTCCTACTTACAAAGCATGTAGAGGTCTGTCATTTTTATCATAGGTACACTTCAACTGTGAGAGACAGAATCTAAAACAAAAATACAGAAAATCACATTGTATGATTTTTAAGTAATTAATTTGCATTTTATTGCATGACATAAGTATTTGATCACCTACCAACCAGTAAGAATTCCGGCTCTCATAGACCTGTTCGTTTTTCTGTAAGAAGCCCTCCTCTTCTCCACTCATTAACTGTATTAACTGCACCTGTTTGAACCAGTTACCTGTATAAAAGACACCTGTCCACACACTCAATCAAACAGACTCCAAACTCTCCACAATGGCCAAGACCAGAGATCTGTGTAAGGACATCAGGGATAAAATTATAGACCTGCACAAGGCTGGGATGGGCTACAGGACAATAGGCAAGCAGCTTGGTGAGAAGGCAACAACTGTTGGCGCAATTATTAGAAAATGGAAGAAGTTCAAGATGACGGTCAATCACCCTCGGTCTAGGGCTCCATGCAAGATCACACCTCGTGGGGCATCAATGATCATGAGGAAGGTGAGAGATCAGCCCAGAACTACATGGCAGGACCTGGTCAATGACCTGAAGAGAGCTGGGACCACAGTCTCAAAGAAAACCATTAGTAACACACTACGCCATCATGGATTAAAATCCTGCAGTGCACGCAAGGTCCCCCTGCTCAAGCCAGCGCATGTCCAGGCCCGTCTGAAGTTTGCCAATGACCATCTGGATGATCCAGAGGAGGAATGGGAGAAGGTCATGTGGTCTGATGAGACAAAAATAGAGCTTTTTGGTCTAAACTCCACTCGCCGTGTTTGGAGGAAGAAGAAGGATGAGTACAACCCCAAGAACACCATCCCAACCATGAAGCATGGAGGTGGAAACATCATTATTTGGGGATGCTTTTCTGCAAAAGGGACAGGATGACTGCACCGTATTGAGGGGAGGATGGATGGGGCCATGTATCGCGAGATCTTGGCCAACAACTTCCTTCCCTCAGTAAGAGCATTGAAAATGGGTCGTGGCTGGGTCTTCCAGCATGACAACGACCCGAAACACACAGCCAGGGCAACTAAGGAGTGGCTCCGTAAGAAGCATCTCAAGGTCCTGGATTGGCCTAGCCAGTCTCCAGACCTGAACCCAATAGAAAATCTTTGGAGGGAGCTGAAAGTCCGTATTGCCCAGCGACAGCCCCGAAACCTGAAGGATCTGGACAAGGTCTGTATGGAGAAGTGGGCCAAAATCCCTGCTGCGGTATGTGCAAACCTGGTCAAGACCTACAGGAAACGTATGATCTCTGTAATTGCAAACAAAGGTTTCTGTACCAAATATTAAGTTCTGCTTTTCTGATGTATCAAATACTTATGTCATGCAATAAAAAGCAAATTAATTACTTAAAAATCATACAATGTGATTTTCTGGACATCTGTTTTAGATTCCGTCTAAAGTGTACCTATGATGAAAATTACAGACCTCTACATGCTTTGTAAGTAGGAAAACTTGCAAAATCGGCAGTGTATCAAATACTTGTTCTCCCCACTGTATCTCTCCGGGAAGCAGAAGGGCAGAGGTGTGTGTTTCATGATTAACGACTCATGGTGTAATTGTAGTAACATACAGGAACTCGAGTCCTTCTGTTCACCCGACCTAGAATATCTCACAATCAAATGCAGACCGTATTATCTCCCAAGATAATTTTCTTCGGTTATAGTCACGGCCGTGTATATCCCCCCTCAAGCCGATACCACGATGGCCCTCAAATAACTTCACTGGACCTTATACAAACTGGAAACCACATATCCTGAGGCTGCATTTATTGTAGCCAGGGATTTGAACAAAGCAAATTTGAGGACTAGGCTGCCGAAGTTCTATCAACATATCGACTGTTGTAATCACACTGCTAAAATCCTCGACCATTGCTATTTGAACTTCCGGGATGGTTATAAGGCCCTCTCCCGCCCTCCTTTCGGCAAATCTGACCACGACTCCATTTTGCTCCTCCCTTCCTATAGGCAGAAACTCAAACAGGAAGTACCTGTGCTAAGGACTATTCAATGCTGGTCTGACCAATCGGAATCCATGCTTCAAGATTGTTTTGATCACGCGGACTGGGATATGTTCCGGGTAGCTTCCGAAAATAATTTAGACGTATACGCTGAAACGGTGACTGAGTTTATCAGGAAGTGTATAGGTGATGTTGTGCCCACTGTGACTATTAAAACCTACCCTAACCAGAAACTGTGGATAGATGGCAGCATTGGCGCAAATCTGAAAGCACGAATCACCGCATTCAACCATGGCAAGGTGACTGGAAATATGGCAGAATTCAAACAGTATAGCTACTCACTCCGCAGGCAATTAAACTGGCAAAACATCGGTATAGAGACAAAGTGGAGTCGCAATTCAACGGCTCAGACACGAGACGTATGTGTCAGGGTCTACAAACTATCACGGACTACAAAAGGAAAATCAGCCACGTCGCCGACACCGGCGTCTTGCTTCCGGACAAGCTAAACACCTTCTTCGCCCGCTTTGAGGATAACACAGTGCCACCGACGAGGCCCACTACCAAGGACTGTGGCCTCTCCTTCTCCGTGGCCAATGTGATTAAGACATTTAAGCATGTTAACCCCCGCAAGGCTGCCGGCCCAGACGGCATCCCTAGCCGCGTCCTCAGAGCATGCGCAGACCAGCTGGCTGGTGTGTTTATGGACATATTAAATCTCTCCCTTTCCCAGTCTGTTGTTCCCACATGCTTCAAGATGGCCACCATTGTTCCTGTACCCAAGAAAGCAAAAGTAACTGAACTAAATGACTATCGCCCTGTAGCACTCACCTCTGTCAACATGAAGTGCTTTGAGAGACTAGTCAAGGATCATATCACCTCTACCTTACCTCTCACCCTAGACCCACATCAATTTGCTTACTGCCCCAATAGATCCACAGAGGATGCAATTGCCATCACACTGCACACTGCCCTATCCCATCTGGGCAAGAGGAATACCTATGTAAGAATGCTGTTCATTGACTATAGCTCAGCATTCAACACCATAGTACCCTCCAAGCTCATCATCAAGCTCGAGGCCCTGGGTCTGAACCCCGCCCTGTGCAACTGGGTCCTGGACTTCCTGACGGGCTGCCCCCAGGTGGTGAAGGTAGGAAACAACATCTCCACTTCGCTGATCCCAACACTGGGGCCCCACAAGGGTGCGTGCTCAGCCCCCTCCTGTACTCCCTGTTCACCCATGACTGCGTGGCCAATCACGCCTCCAACTCAATCATCAAGTTTGCAGATGACACAACAGTAGTAGGCTTGATTACCAACAATGACGAGATATCCTACAGAGAGGAGGTGAGGGCTCTGGGAGTGTGGTGCCAGGAAAATAACCTCTCACTCAACATCAACAAAACAAAGGAGATGATCATGGACTTCAGGAAACAGCAGAAGGTGCACCCCACTATCCACATCGACGGGACCGCAGTGGAGAAGGTGGAAAGCTTCAAGTTCCTTGGCGTACACATCACCGACAAACTGAAATGGTCCACCCACGCAGACAGTGTGGTGTAGTCCCCTGTAGCTCAGTTGGTAGAGTACGGCGCTTGCAACGCCAGGGTTGTGGGTTCGTTTCCCACGGGGGGCCAGTATGAAAATGTATGCACTCACTAACTGTAAGTCACTCTGGATAAGAGCGTCTGCTAAATTACTAAAATAAAAATGTGAAGAAGGCGCAACATAGCCTCTTCAACCTCAGGAGGCTGAAGAAATTGGGCCTAGCACCTAAAACCCTCACAAACTTTTACAGATGCACAATTGAGAGCATCCTGTCGGGCTGTATCACCACCTGGGACGGCAACTGCACCACTCACAACAGCAGGGCTCTCCAGAGGGTGGTGAGGTCTGCCGAACGCATTACCGGGGGCAAACTACCCGCCCTCCAGGACACCTACAGCACCCGATGTCACAGGAAGGCCAAAATTATAATCAAGGACATCAACCACCCGATCCACTGCCTGTTCACCCCGCTATCATCCAGAAGGCGAGGTCAGTACAGGTGCATCAAAGCTGGGACCAAGACAATGAAAAACAGCTTCTATCTCATGGCTATCAGACTGTTAAATAGCCATCACTAGCACATTAGAGGCTGCTGCTGCCTATTGAAATCACTGGCCACTTTAAGAAGTGGAACACTAGTCACTTTAATAATGTTTACATATCTTGCACTACTCATCTCATATGTATATACTGCATTATATTCTATAATATTCTACTGTATCTTAGTCCATGCCGCTCTGTCATTGCTTGTCCATACAGTGAGGGAAAAAAGTATTTGATCCCCTGCTGATTTTGTACGTTTGCCCACTGACAAAGAAATGATCAGTCTATATTTTTAATGGTAGGTTTATTTGAACAGTGAGAGACAGAATAACAACAAAAAAATCCAGAAAGGCGCATGTCAAAAATGTTATAAATTGATTTGAAATTGAAATACTTATTTTCCACCATAATTTGCAAATAAATTCATAAAAAATCCTACAATGTGATTTTCTGGATTTTTTCCCCTCAATTTGTCTGTCATAGTTGACGTGTACCTATGGTGAAAATTACAGGCCTCTCTCATCTTTTTAAGTGGGAGAACTTGCACAATTGGTGGCTGACTAAATACTTTTTCCCCCCACTGTATACTAAATATATTCACGTCACCAAATAATTGATTAAAACACACTGTTTTGCAATGATGGTCTACAGTAGCCTCAACAGCACTCTGTAGGGTAGCACCATAGTGTAGCCGGAGGACAGCAGCTTCCGTCCTCCTTTGGGTACATTGACTTCAATACAAAACCTAGGAGACTCATGGTTCTCACCCCCTTCCATAGACTTACACATTAATTATGACAACTTCCGGAGGACGTCCTCCAACCTATCAGAGCTCTTGCAGCATGAACTGATTTGTTGTCCACCCAATCAAAGGATAAGATAATTAATCTATTATTGAAAGCATACTACAGCTAGCTAGCACTGCAGCGCATAGCATGTGTTGAGTAGTTGACTCAAAGAGAGTGAAGACAATAGTTTAACAGTTTTGAACAAATTAATTTATTCAAAAATGAAGGAGAAGCAAGAGAGAGAGAGAGAGAGAGAGAGAGTGAGCTATTTCATAAAAAAAAAAAAAAAACTTTCACTCACTCACATTCACTTAGCTAGCAAATGCAGCTAACTAGTTTAGCCTACTCAAACACCCGGCTCAAACAGATGGATGCTATGTTAGCTAGCTGGTTATCACTATCCAACACAACACTGGTACTCTTCCAAATCAAGGTAAGCTTTTGGTATTGCTAAATTATTGCCACCGGGGCCCACCGGTGTAATTGCTAAACTGCTTACACTGTACACTGTACTGCATAATTGTAATGGGTTTACTAACGTGTTAGTTCTATTAGCTATGTTGACTATGATGTTACTTTAGCTAATATGGTGACAATGATGTAGGCTGTGTGTAGTGGTTATGATATGGTTTGGAAAGTTTTTTTTCGCCTTGTCACATACAGCTGATGTGTTGTGCATTGAAGTCCACAAGCGAAGGGAAAAGGTGAGAGGAGGAGGGCGTGTAGATGTGAGTAGAAATACAATGTGGCTGCTATGAAAGTGAACTGTGTTTACGTTTGATCAGGGGTGTATTCATTCCACCGATTCTGTTGAAAACGTTTCTTAGATAGAAGCAAATGGAACGAAACGGGGGATAAACATCCCTGAATTTGTCCAATAGAAACTCTCGATTGCAACTGTTCAACTAATGATTACACCCTAGATCAGCCAAATGCAGGCAATAGTGTGCAATGTGGTATTGAATGTGTCACCATCTGTCCATTTGTCACAGTCTGTCACCTAAAACATGTATCTTGGCCTGTGTGCACCTACGTGGTAGACTTTCATTCATAGGCTATGTTGTAGCAACCTCATTATGGGTATAGGGAAAATTGAAGTATCATGTAGTAGCCTAAACCTATCGATGTTACATTGAATTGGGTGAATGTAATATGAATGACAGTCATCCAATATGCAGTAAGAGAAATAAGGCCATGCTCCTAAAAAAATAATTGTCCTCCCTCATCTTAAACGGCACCGACCGCCACTGGATTTCACCCAATGGGACAAACACCCCATTGAAAGACTGCATGCAGAGTTCTGTAAGATTCTCATACATGTCCAGAGGAAAACTACAAACAAGGCATGCAGGACAGAATTAGGCCAATATCCACTAATAATAAAATAAAATAAAATTGTATTGGTCACATACACATGATAAAACATGATTGGAAACATCTAAAATACAGTAACCCTCTCTCATATCAAGAGTCCCCTCATCCAGCTGGTCCTGGGGCTGAGTCCACAAATCTGTCCTACACACACCTGAAACCTCAGGACCAGAACATCCAATCAATCAGAATAAACTAAATTACAACACAGTCAAAACAAAACGACATTACCTATTGGGAAACACAAGCACAAAGCAAAATGCGGTGCTATCTGGCCCTAAATCGACAGTACACCATGGAAAACTATTTGACCATGGTTACTGATCAAAACCTTAGAAAAACCTTGACAAAGTATAGACTCAGTGAGCACAGCCTTGCCATTGAGAAGGGTAGACACAGGAAAACCGGGCTCCATGTAGAGGAAAGGCTGTGTAACCACTGCACCACAGCAGAACCCGAGACAGAGATGCAGTTCTGTAATCGGTGAAGGAATCAGGTTCGACCTTCATGTTGATAGTAAATTCATTACCAAACAGGTTCCTTACATCAATCAATCACATGTATTTCATAAAGCCCTTTTTACTTCAACCATTAGCAATGGGAAGCACTGACTGTTGACATGTATTTTGGTGTTGAGCTAAGGAAACTCAGTGCCACTTTACGTTGTGACAAACAAATTATATTTATCTAGTAATCCCATAGGCATGTTCAGTATAACTACAGTGTAAGAGCAGTACATGTCAAGGGCTGATGTAATGTGGTGTGGGAGTCAGGCGCAGGACACCGAAGCTTAGTCCAACAGACTTTACTAGTGAAACACTAGACAAAATACAATAAACGGCCTCAACACAAAACAGAGGCGAGCGATTACGCAAACTGTGCGTAAACAACGAAAACAACAAACATAGAGAAACACGCAGCACTAATGGACAGGCGTAACAATAACACACAAACTAACCAACACAAAGCAGGCAACTTATAGGACACATAATCAGACACAAACGGACACAGGTGCAATAGACAGACAAAACCAATCTAACATCGAAACATCTAACGGTGGTAGCTAGTACTCCGGGGACGGCGAACGCCGAAGCCTGCCCGAGCAAGGAGGAGGAGCAGCCTCGGCAGAATCCGTGACAGTACATTTAGTTAGTACTTACAGTTCTTACAACTATTTTACCGGTTTGCAGCTTCCAGAGCATTTGTGCATTGATTCCTTCTGATCGTTATGGACACAAATATCTTACACATTTTATAACTTATAATATCTTATCATCTGACAGTGTTGGTGGAGCAACATAGTGGACTGTCACTGGGCAGTGGATGGTTTTGAAGGGACTACAAAATTATTCTACTTTGAATGACCATATCCAATTGGTTGCTATTGGTTACCCAGTGAAATGAGTCATGGCAACAGCGATGGTGTGGTTTTTAGGGCCGAGAGAGTGTCACCCATGGAGACCAAGAGTCTCTGAGAGCTCTGTCTCTCACTCTCTCATAGCGTCCATCATTCAGTAATGTTAAAAAGTACAGTAGTAGTATACATTGTTCTCTATCCACAAATGGCATTTTAACCATTTGCCCATACCTGACACTAAACGTAATCCTAACTTTAATCCCAATCCTTAACCTAGAGTAGAACAAATAGGTGGACACCTGCTCGTCGAAAATATGGAGTTGGTCCCCCCTTTGCTGCTGCAACAGCCTCCACTCTTCTGGGAAGGCTTTCCACTAGAATATTGCTGATGGGATTTGCTTCCATTCAGCCACAAGAGCATTGGTGAGGTCGGGCACTGATGTTGGGCGATTAGCAATAAGACATAAGACTCCTGAACAACTAATCATGGCTACCCAGACTATTTGCATTGCCCCCCCATACCACCCCACTCCAACCCCATATGTTATGCTGCTGCTACTCTGTTTATTATTTATGCATAGTCACTTTAACTCTACCCACATGTACATATGACCTCAATTACCTCAACTAACCGGTGCCCCCGCACATTGACTCTGTACCGGTACCCCCTGTATATAGCCTCCCTACTGTTATTTTATTTTACTCCTGCTCTTTAATTATTTGCTTTTAATTTTAATTTTTTCCTTATCTATTTTTTACTTAACACTTTATTTGTAATTTGTTTTTGTTTTTCTTAAAATCTGCATTGTTGTTTAAGGGCTTGTAAGTAAGCATTTCACTGTAAGGTCTACACCTGTTGTATTCGGCGCATGTGGCAAATAAAATTTGATTTGATTTGACTCCAATTCATCCCAAAGGTGTTCGATGGGGTTGAGGTCAGGGCTCAGCGCAGGCCAGTCAAGTTCTTCCACACCGATCTCGACAAACCATTTCTGTATGGATCTCGCTTTGTGCACTTGGGCATTGTCATGCTGAAACAGGAAAAGGGCCTTCCCCAAAGTGTTACCACTAATTTGGAAGCACAGAATCGTCTAGAATGTCATTGTAGGCTGTAGCGTTAAGATTTCCCTTCACTGGAACTAAGGGGCCTAGCCCGAACCATGAAAAACAGCACCAGACCAGTATTACTCCTCCACCAAACTTTACAGTGGGCACTATGTATTGGGGCAGGTAGCATTCTCCTGGCATCTGCCAAACCCAGATTCGTCCGTCAGACTGCCAGATGGTGAAGCGGGATTCATCACTCCATAGTGGTCCTCTGTAGCTCAGCTGGTAGAGCACGGCGCTTGTAACGCCAAGGTAGTGGGTTCGATCCCCGGGACCACCCATACACAAAAATGTATGCACGCATGACTGTAAGTCGCTTTGGATAAAAGCGTCTGCTAAATGGCATATTATATTATTATTATAGAACGTGTTTCCACTGCTCCAGAGTCCAATGGCGGCCAGCTTTACACCACTCCAGCCGACGCTTGCCATTGTGCATGGTGATCTTAGGCTTGTGTGCGGTTGCTCGGCCATGGAAACGCATTTTATGAAGCTCCCGACGAACAGTTCTTCTGCTGACATCGCTTCCAGAGGCAGTTTGGAATTCGGTAGTGAGTGTTGCAACCGAAGCAGACGATTTTACGCACTACATGCTTCAGTACTCGGCGGTCCCGTTCTGTAAGCTTGTGTGGCCTACCACTTCTCGGCTGAGCCGTTGTTGCTCCTAGACATTTCTACTTCACAATAACAGCACTTACAGTTAATCGGGGCAGCTCTAGCAGGGCAGAAATTTGACAAAATTTGACTTGTTGGAAAGGTGGAATCCTATGACGGTACCACGTTGAAAGTCACTGACCTCTTCAGTACGGGCCATTCTTCTGCCAATGTTTGTCTATGGAGATTGCATGGCTGTGTGCTCGATTTTATACACCTGTCAGCAATGGGTGAGGCTGAAATAGCCAAATCCACTCATTTAAACAGGGTGTCCACATACTTTCTCAAAATCTCCACTTGTCTTTTCTGCAATGGCCATATTAGTTACAAATTACATGGAGTTACACCAAGACCGTTTCAATTCCATGTTACTACGTCAATTATAATTAGTCAAACGACAGACTTGGCAAAGATTCCATTTGCCTCAGGGAGAAATTGCATTATTCTCAATCAGTTGGGTGAGTCTATCACAGTTCCATCTCCATGGAGATAAATGTAATGGGGCTGTGGCTGGGCTGCATATGGGTATGGAGGGGAGAGAGGGAAAATAAAAGAGAGGAAAGAAGAGGCAGAGGGGAAGAGAGAGGAAAGGGACAGATGGAAGGATGAAGAGAAGAAGAGCAGGAGAGATGGATGGAGTGGGAGAGAGAGAGTAGTAGAGTAGGAGAGAGGGAGAGAGATGGAGGGAGAGAGATGGAGAGTTGGAGAGAGAGATCGATTGCTGGAGAGAGAGAGGGAGAGTTAATAAGGCCATTGACTGGCTTTACACCTCATCTCTGTGGAAACTAATTGGGAGAGAGCTGTAGGGCACTAATCAGAGCACTCTGCCGGGTAGATGTAGTACAACCAACTATGAAGGGTAAATCAATGCACTACCTCTCTCTACACCTCATTATCTTTATCTCTCGCGATGTCTCTCTCTTTACCCCACTTTCTCCCTTCCTCCCTCTCTAACTCACAACACGTCTCCCTCTTTCTGTCTCTCCTCTGTCGCTCGCTCTACACCTCTCTTTCTTTCTCTCTTTCTCTACACCTCTCTCTTTCTCTCTCTCACACTACACCTCTCTTGCTCCCCCTTTCTTTTTATCTCTCCCTATTTCTCTGCCTGCTCTCCCTCCCTCTCTCTCTACACCTCTCTCTCTCTCTTACACATCTCTCTCACTCTCTCTTGTTACCTTACTCCCTGACTCATTCTTATTTTCTAATGAGTTGACTGAAGCTGAAGATGCGGTTTGTGGATGTGCGTAAAGGTATGGACCTGTGCAGATGTTACTGTATATACAAAAATAATATATGCATGCATTAAAGCTTGTTGATCTCACCAAGTAGTTATTTGGCAAACATTAAACATTAGACCATATGAATTACTGAAAATGTACAGTGCCTTCAGAAAGTATTCACACCACTTGACCTTTTCCAAGTTTTGTTGTGTTACAGCCTGAATTGAACCCATAAGAGTCTAAACCCTCTCTAAGCTGGGGGAGGGTTCTATTAAGCTATATGGAATTGTTTTAAGAAGGTCATACCAAGGATCATTTTTCTATTTGATTTTGAATTTTAAGACCCCTTGAAGTATCAATTAAAATATATATATATGCAAAAGTCAAAAGATTTAGAACACCTACTAATTCAAGGGTTTTTCTTTATTTTTACTATTTTCTACATTGTAGAATAATAATGAAGACATCAAAACTATGAAATAACACATATGGAATCATGTAGTAATCAAAAAAGTGTTAAAAAAATCAAAATATATTTTATATTTGAGATTCTTCAAATAGTCACCATTTGCCTTGATGACAGCTTTGCACACTCTTGGCATTCTCTCAACCAGCTTCACCTGGAATGCTTTTCCAACAGTCTTGAAGGAGTTCCCACATATGCTGAGCACTTGTTGGCTGCTTTTCCTTCACACTGCGGTCCGACTCATCCCAAACCATCTCAATTTGGTTGAGGTTGGGGGATTGTGGAGGCCAGGTCATCTGATGCAGCACTCCATCACTCTCCTTCTTGTTCAAATAGCACTTACACAGCCTGTTGAAAAACAAATGATAGTCCCACTTAGCACAAACAGATGGGATGGCGTATCGCCGCAGAATGTTGTTGTTGTCACAACTTCCTCCGATGCTGCCTCCTCTCCTTGTTCGGGCAGGCTTCGATGTTCGTCGTCACCGGCCTTCTAGCCACTGCCGCTCCTCATCTCATCATTCCATTTGTTTTGTCTTGTTGATTACACACACCTGGTTCATATCCCCTCATCAGTACCTGTAAAGTGTTCCCTCTGTCCCCTTGTCTTTGTGTGTGATTGTTTATTGTGAGGATAGTGAAGCTCGGTGGAGCTCCTTGTATGGTTATTTTCCCCATGTGCCTTGTTGGTTCCAGTGCGCCTGTTTTGCGCACTTTACTGTTTTGACGCTTAACTGCATACTCTGTACTCTGGAATAAATCATTTTATTCTGTGATTTACCCATCTTGCACCTGACTCCTTCAAATCACCCATCACAGTTGTAGCCATGCTGGTTAAGTGTGTCTTGAATTCTAAATAAATCACAGACAGTGTCACCAGCAAAGCACCCCCACACCATAACACCTCCTCCTCCATGCTTTACGGTGGAAAATACACATGCGGAGATCATCCGTTCACCCACACGCGTCTCACAAAGACACGGTGGTTGGAACCAAAAATCTCCAATTTGGACTCCAGACCAAAGGTCACATTTCCACCGGTCTAATGTCCATTGCCATTGTTTCTTGGCCCAAGCAAGTCTCTTCTTCTTATTGGTGTCCTTTAGTAATGGTTTCTTTGCAGCGATTCGACCATGAAGGCCTGATTCACACAGTCTCCTCTGAACAGTTGATGTTGAGATGTGTCTGTTACTTGAACTCTGTGAAGCATTCATTTGGGCTGCAATTTCTGAGGCTGGTAACTCTAATGAACTTATCCTCTGCAGCAGAGGTAACTCTGGGTCTTCCATTCCTGTGGCGGTCCTCATGAGAGCCAGTTTCACCATAGCGCTTAATGGTTTTTGCGACTACACTTGAAGAAACGTTCAAAGTTCTTGGAATGTTCCGTATTGACTGACCTTGATGTCTTAAAGTAATGATGGATTGTCGTTTCTCTTTGCTTATTTGAGCTGTTCTTTACATAATATGGACATCATCTTTTACCAAATAAGGCTATCTTCTGTATACCCCCTCTAACTTGTCACAACAGAACTGATTGGCTCAAATGCATTAAGAAGGAAAGAAATTCCACAAATTAACTTTTAAGAAGGCACACCTGTTAATTGAAATGCATTCCAGGTGACTACCTCATGAAGCTGGTTGAGAGAATGCCAAGACTGTGTAAAGCTGTCATCAAGGCAAAGGGTGGCTATTTGAAGAATTCAAATATAAAATATATTTTGATTTGTTTAACACATTTTTGGTTACTACATGATTCCATATGTGTTATTTCATAGTTTTGATGTCTTCACTATTATTCTACAATGTAAAAAATAGTAAAAATAAAGAAAAACCCTTGAATATGAGTAGGTGTGTCCACACTTTTGATTGGTAGTGTATATACTGTACATATTAAAAATACATGTATTTTTGTCAATTAGTATATTTGAGTTTAACCATAACCATTTGTTGTATTATTTGTTCTGTCTTTTCTGGTCTATTCAACTGAAATTTGAACAGAGTATGCAGAAACGTTCTATGGCTTGTTTTAAAAATAGCGATATTTTGGATATGATTTCATTTTTCAAATAACCGAAAGCGAGAGGTTGTAATCTGAATAAAGGGAAAAAGGCCATTCTTGAGTATGGGGTGAGAAATTCTTACTAATCTGCTAGAGAAAGTTCGGATTTAAGTATAACTTTTGTACACTTTTGTGGTTACTACATGATTCCATATGTGTTATTTCATAGTTTCGATGTCTTCACTATTATTCTACAATGTAGAAAATAGTAAAAATAAGAAAAACCCTTGAATGAGTAGGTGTTCTAAAACTTTGTTCTAATAAACTGTTTTTAGCGTAAACAAACAAATTGAATAACTGATTCACTACATGGAACAACAGACAGTACCACCCCCCCCCCCCCCCCCCCCCCCCCCCCCCCCCCCCCCCAAAAAAAGGAAGTTTGTTCTGAAGTGGCTGTCCTATATCTGAGAGATATACAGTGGGGGAAAAAAAGTATTTAGTCAGCCACCAATTGTGCAAGTTCTCCCACTTAAAAAGATGAGAGAGGCCTGTAATTTTCATCATAGGTACACGTCAACTATGACAGACAGATTGAGGAAAAAAAATCCAGAAAATCACATTGTAGGATTTTTAATGAATTTATTTGCAAATTATGGTGGAAAATAAGTATTTGGTCACCTACAAACAAGAAAGATTTCTGGCTCTCACAGACCTGTAACTTCTTCTTTAAGAGGCTCCTCTGTCCTCCACTCGTTACCTGTATTAATGGCACCTGTTTGAACTTGTTATCAGTATAAAAGACACCTGTCCACAACCTCAAACAGTCACACTCCAAACTCCACTATGGCCAAGACCAAAGAGCTGTCAAAGGACACCAGAAACAAAATTGTAGACCTGCACCAGGCTGGGAAGACTGAACCTGCAATAGGTAAGCAGCTTGGTTTGAAGAAATCAACTTTGGGAGCAATTATTAGGAAATGGAAGACATACAAGACCACTGATAATCTCCCTCGATCTGGGGCTCCACGCAAGATCTCACCCCGTGGGGTCAAAATGATCACAAGAACGGTGAGCAAAAATCCCAAACCACACAGGGGGACCTAGTGAATGACCTGCAGAGAGCTGGGACCAAAGTAACAAAGCCTACCATCAGTAACACACTACGCCGCCAGGGACTCAAATCCTGCAGTGCAAGACGTGTCCCCCTGCTTAAGCCAGTACATGTCCAGGCCCGTCTGAAGTTTGCTAGAGTGCATTTGGATGATCCAGAAGAGGATTGGGAGAATGTCATATGAAACCAAAATATAACTTTTTGGTAAAAACTCAACTCGTCGTGTTTGGAGGACAAAGAATTCTGAGTTGCATCCAAAGAACACCATACCTACTGTGAAGCATGGGGGTGGAAACATCATGCTTTGGGGCTGTTTTTCTGCAAATGGACCAGGACGACTGATCCGTGTAAAGGAAAAAATGAATGGGGCCATGTATCGTGAGATTTTGAGTGAAAACCTCCTTCCATCAGCAAGGGCATTGAAGATGAAACGTGGCTGGGTCTTTCAGCATGACAATGATCCCAAACACACCGCCCGGGCAACGAAGGAGTGGCTTCGTAAGAAGCATTTCAAGGTCCTGGAGTGGCCTAGCCAGTCTCCAGATTTCAACCCCATAGAAAATCTTTGGAGGGAGTTGAAAGTCCGTGTTGCCCAGCGACAGCCCCAAAACATCACTGCTCTAGAGGAGATCTGCATGGAGGAATGGGCCAAAATACCAGCAACAGTGTGTGAAAACCTTGTGAAGACTTACAGAAAACGTTTGACCTGTGTCATTGCCAACAAAGGGTATATAACAAAGTATTGAGAAACTTTTGTTATTGACCAAATACTTATTTTCCACCATAATTTGCAAATAAATTCATTAAAAATCCTACAATGTGATTTTCTGGATTTTTTTTTCTCATTTTGTCTGTCATAGTTGACGTGTACTATGATGAAAATTACAGGCCTCTCTCATCTTTTTAAGTGGGAGAACTTGCACAATTGGTGGCTGACTAAATACTTTTTTTCCCCACTGTAAGAGAGATCAGGAAACATTATTGTTATTATTATTATTATTATTATTATTATTATTATTATTATTATTATTATATATATATTTTTACATGTATTTAACCCCTTATTTTTGGCACTAAACAGTCTCTATATACTGTATAGTTAGGCCTGTGGGTGCCCAAACTGTTCGGACGCTACAGACAGAAGTTGGCAGATCGGCTGTACCAATTTCAGACGAGTCCCAAGATAAATGTGGGGGTCGTAGAGCAAAATAGTGAGCGTCATCTTTCCATAGAGGGTTCATAATTGTTTGTAGGCCAAACCGTTCGGACGCTACAGACGATGTTGTGAGAAGACCGATTTTCGGGATGTCCAATACAACACATTACTGAGTACTACTCATATTTTCAAGCATAGTGGTGTCTGTTCCATTCCGTTTATCTTCTTCTGTAAATAGCCTAAAATAAAAGCTTTGACTATCAATTATCTGATCATTCAGCAAGTTGATCATTTCAAGATTTCCTTGTCTAGCTAAGATTCTTGAATCCTTGGTAAATGTACAACTTAGCTCTTTTTCATCTGAGAAATATATTTTGAATGCAAACCAATCAGGGTTTAGGGCTGGGCATAGCACTATTACAGCAACCACTTTAGTTGTTAATGATCTTGTCAATGCTTTAGACACTAAAATGAAATGTGCTGCTTTTTTTGTGGACCTGTCAAAAGCTTTTGATACTGTTGATCATGCTATTTTATTGAATAAGTTGTCCTCGATAGGCCTGAGCTCTGACGCCTGTTCATGGTTTCATGGTTATCTTAGTGACAGAACTCAGGCCATTGTGATTAATGGGGTTAAGTCCGAATTTCTTGAAGTACATAAAGGTGTTCCGCAGGGGTCGATACTAGGACCTGTTCTTTCCACTATTTCAAAAAACATACGACTAAGCTTGTTCAGAAACTAAGATTTAAAGTGGGCATTTTTTTACAGAAACAGATCTTGTCTCTCTCTAGTCAGCAGGACGCAGATTGTGCAGTCAACCTTTCTACCTGTTCTTGATTATGATGATACTATTCATCAAACTGCAGCTGCTGTTACGCTTAAACCCTTGGATGCCACTTTTCATAGCGACCTTTGTTTTATCACAGGAGACAGTTGTATAATTCATCACTGTATTCTTTACCAAAAGGTTTACTGGACCTCTGAAGTCACGTAGATCACATCATCACGCTCTTTTTGTTTACCTAACATCACTGTTAAAATGACAAGTTATCAAACCCGTTCACAGGGTTGGTTAACTGTAGAGACTCCTTTGGTGTCTAGAGAGTTAGGTAAATCAGTCTTTAATTTCCTTGTGTGGAATGATCTACAATACACTTTAAAATTGGAGGGATTGGGGCCACTAGGGCATTTCAGATGGTTGTTAGGGGACCTTTTTACTGAAGAATGTGTCTGTTTTTTATGATTGTGTTTTGCTTTTTGTGTATTAAATATTAGATTTATATTTTTTTAAACAGGGAGTCACCATTGAGACCAGAGTCTCTTTCACAAGGGAGCCCTGCATATACAATTTCATAAGACAAGTAAAATGCAGCACAAAAATATTCAAGAAAAACAATTACATTCCTCAATAAGAAGGTCCCAAATCAATATTTTAAATTGCCAGAGCGGCACCAGAACATCCAATTGTAATGTATGTTGTAGTTGCTTCTAGCAATGAGTTGCTTTAAAACTATAATAATATTTACCTAGTTCGGTGGAGACCCGGGGAAACTTATGAGTTAACCAACATTCTGAATGGGTTTGGTATCTCATGTTTTTATATTTTAACTGTGAAGTTAGGTATGTCGGAAGCTTGTGTAGTAGAGCTTTGTAAACAAAAAGGAAATAGTGAAGTGATCTACGGGACTTTAATGAGGAATAAGAGGGAACACAGGTGTGAGTGGGATACAGAGAATAAAATGGTCAGTGGTGAACCCTAAGATGAAACCAGTCCCTCTGGTTGCACTACCGCTACGGTAGACCATACTCCAATGGTGATTTTAAACACAAAATCTGAGCAGCCACTGTGGCCATGGCCTATGTGATGGGAGAAGTATGATGGCATGGAGCAATCAACACAGACACACCTCAATTTTCTTTCTTCACCATAGCACCTAGATGAAGGCTAGCTTTACTAATCAAAAATCATATTTGGGCTTCCTTCATTATCCTCTTACTCACTCAAGTGTGTGTGTGAGTGAGTGTGTGGATGGGTGGGTGTGAACGTGTGTATGTGTGTGTGTTAACATGCATGTGTGTGTGTATTATTAAGTGTCTGTGTGTCTTTAGCCCCATTTATACCTGGCATTAACATGCATCCTTTGTCCTGATCTTGTCCATGTTCTGATTTGTGTCTACACACAATATTAAAATGTATCTCTTATCCGGCATTGTGACTACATATCCTGGTTCCTCCCTGTATGCAAGTTATTTGACAGGTATTCTTTCTAACTAATATTTATTTATTTTAAGACACATATTGATGCCATGTCAATGGTGCTACCTGTCAATGATTTTAGAGTGCAGAATAATGATGATTTAAACGGTTTCACTGTCCAGATCCATCTACAATTGTAAGATATCCAGACACAATGTGTGCCTGACTACCTCTAGAGGTTGTCAGGAAAATCTAATTACAATTGGATCAAAATGCGTCTTTTAATCATTTACACCTGTCTAAAAGTATGGGTACAATCAGAATTTAGACAAGATTAGGACAAAGGATTCATGTTAGCACCAGGTATAAACAGGGCTTTTATGTTCACAACTATCCTTGTGAGTACCAGAGGTCCTCACACGGAGAGTAAAACAAGGGAAATTCGGACGAGTGGGGACATTTTGCCATTCCCCAGGAGGAAAAATGCTTTTTTAAGATTAGGGGTTAGATTTAGAATTAAGGTTAGGAGTTAGGATTAGGTATAGTGTTGGGGTTTGGGGTTAAAGTTAGGCTTAGGGTTATGGTTAGGTTAAGGGTTAAGGTTAGGGTTAGATCTAGGGTTAGGGGTTAGGGAAAATAGGATCTTGGATGGGAATGAATGATTTGGTCCCCACAAGGATAGGAATACAAAACTGTGTGTGTGTGTGAGCTCTCTAACAGGGTGGCATTATATTCGGTGGAGGAAAAGAAAGCAGTCTGTATGCTTGCCTCCTGTGGCAAGGCCATGTGTGGCTGAGCAGGGAGCCAGAGTCTTAGTGGGAATTATCCCTCCCCCGGGCCCAGGGATAGTACAGAATTTTTAGCCTTACAGTGGGGGAAAAAAGTATTTAGTCAGCCACCAATTGTGCAAGTTCTCCCACTTAAAAAGAGGAGGGAGGCCTGTAATTTTCATCATAGGTACACGTCAACTATGACAGACAAAATGAGAAAAAAAATTCCAGAAAATCACATTGTAGGATTTTTAATGGATTTATTTGCAAATTATGGTGGAAAATAACAAAAGTTTCTCAATACTTTGTTATATACCCTTTGTTGGCAATGACACAGGTCAAACGTTTTCTGTAAGTCTTCACAAGGTTTTCACACACTGTTGCTGGTATTTTGGCCCATTCCTCCATGCAGATCTCCTCTAGAGCAGTGATGTTTTGGGGCTGTCGCTGGGCAACACAGACTTTCAACACCCTCCAAAGATTTTCTATGGGGTTGAGATCTGGAGACTGACTAGGCCACTCCAGGACCTTGAAATGCTTCTTACGAAGCCACTCCTTCGTTGCCCGGGCGGTGTGTTTGGGATCATTGTCATGCTGAAAGACCCAGCCACGTTTCATCTTCAATGCCCTTGCTGATGGAAGGAGGTTTTCACTCAAAATCTCACGATACATGGCCCATTCATTCTTTCTTTTACACGGATCAGTCGTCCTGGTCCCTTTGCAGAAAAACAGCCCCAAAGCATGATGTTTCCACCCCCATGCTTCACAGTAGGTATGGTGTTCTTTGGATGCAACTCAGCATTCTTTGTCCTCCAAACACGACGAGTTGAGTCTTTACCAAAAAGTTATATTTTGGTTTCATCTGACCATATGACATTCTCCCAATCCTCTTCTGGATCATCCAAATGCACTCTAGCAAACTTCAGACGGGCCTGGACATGTACTGGCTTAAGCAGGGGGACACGTCTGGCACTGCAGGATTTGAGTCCCTGGCGGCGTAGTGTGTTACTGATGGTAGGCTTTGTTACTTTGGTCCCAGCTCTCTGCAGGTCATTCACTAGGTCCCCCCGTGTGGTTCTGGGATTTTTGCTCACCGTTCTTGTGATCATTTTGACCCCACGGGGTGAGATCTTGCGTGGAGCCCCAGATCGAGGGAGATTATCAGTGGTCTTGTATGTCTTCCATTTCCTAATAATTGCTCCCACAGATGATTTCTTCAAACCAAGCTGCTTACCTATTGCAGATTCAGTCTTCCCAGCCTGGTGCAGGTCTACAATTTAGTTTCTGGTGTCCTTTGACAGCTCTTTGGTCTTGGCCATAGTGGAGTTTGGAGTGTGACTGTTTGAGGTTGTGGACAGGTGTATTTTATACTGATAACAAGTTCAAAGAGGTGCCATTAATATAGGTAACGAGTGGAGGACAGAGGAGCCTCTTAAAGAAGAAGTTACAGGTCTGTGAGAGCCAGAAATCTTGCTTGTTTGTAGGTGACCAAATACTTATTTTCCACCATAATTTGCAAATAAATTCATTAAAAATCCTACAATGTGATTTTCTGGAGAGAAAAAAAATCTCATTTTGTCTGTCATAGTTGACGTGTACCTATGATGAAAATTACAGGCCTCTCTCATCTTTTTAAGTGGGAGAACATGCACAATTGGTGGCTGACTAAATACTTTTTTTCCCCACTGTACATAAGAAAAGCAGCAAGACAAGACAAAAAAATACAAAGATTGAGTGTTATGAGGGTGGAGGAGGACAATCACAGTTGTGTTTCTGTGTCTCTGCATGCGTGTGTGAATGAGTGAGAGAGCGATAGATACAGTGGGGAGAACAAGTATTTGATACGCTGCCGATTTTGCAGGTTTTCCTACTTACAAAGCATGTAGAGGTCTGTAATTTTTATCATAGGTACACTTCAACTGTGAGAGACGGAATCTAAAACAAAAATCCAGAAAATCACATTGTATGATTTTTAAGTAATTCATTTGTTTTTTATTGCATGACATAAGTATTTGATACATCAGAAAAGCAGAACTTAATATTTGGTACAGAAACCTTTGTTTGCAATTACAGAGATCATACATTTCCTGTAGGTCTTGACCAGGTTTGCACACACTGCAGCAGGGTTTTTGGCCCACTCATCCATACAGACCTTCTCCAGATCCTTCAGGTTTCGGGGCTGTCACTGGGCAATACGGACTTTCAGCTCCCTCCAAAGATTTTCTATTGGGTTCAGGTCCGGAGACTGGCTAGGCCATTCCAGGACCTTGAGATGCTTCTTACGGAGCCACTCCTTAGTTGCCCTGGCTGTGTGTTTCGGATCGTTGTCATGCTGGAAGACCCAGCCACGACCCATCTTCAATGCTCTTACTGAGGGAAGGAGGTTGTTGGCCAAATCTCGCGATACATGGCCCCATCCATCCTCTCCTCAATACGGTGCAGTCATCCTGTCCCCTTTGCAGAAAAGCATCCCCAAAGAATGATGTTTCCACCTCCATGATTCATGGTTGGGATGGTGTTCTTGGGGTTGTAGTCATCCTTCTTCTTCCTCCAAACACGGCGAGTTGAGTTTAGACCAAAACACTCTATTTTTGTCTCATCAGACCACATGACCTTCTCCCATTCCTCCTCTGGATCATCCAGATGGTCATTGGCAAACTTCAGACAGGCCTGGACATGCGCTGGCTTGAGCAGTGTGACCTTGCGTGCGCTGTAGGATTTTAATCCATGACGGCGTAGTGTGTTACTAATGGTTTTCTTTGAAACTGTGGTCCCAGGTCTCTTCAGGTCATTGACCAGGTCATGCCGTGTAGTTCTGGGCTGATCCCTCACCTTCCTCATGATCATTGATGCCCCACGAGGTGAAATCTTGCATGGAGCCCCAGACTGAGGGTGATTGACCGTCATCTTGAACTTCCATTTTCTAATAATTGCGCCAACAGTTGTTGCCTTCTCACCAAGCTGCTTGCCTATTGTCCTGTAGCCCATCCCAGCCTTGTGCAGGTCTACAATTTTATCCCTGATGTCCTTACACAGCTCTCTGGTCTTGGCCATTGTGGAGAGGTTGGAGTCTGTTTGATTGAGTGTGTGGACAGGTGTCTTTAATACAGGTAACGAGTTCAAACAGGTGCAGTTAATACAGGTAATGAGTGGAGAACAGGAGGGCTTCTTAAAGAAAAACTAACAGGTCTGTGAGAGCCGGAATTATTACTGGTTGGTAGGTGATCAAATACTTATGTCATGCAATAAAATGCAAATTAATTACCTAAAAATCATACAATGTGATTTTCTGGATTTTTGTTTTAGATTCCGTCTCTCACAGTTGAAGTGTACCTATGATAACAATTACAGACCTCTACATGATTTGTATGTAGGAAAACCTGCAAAATCGGCAGTGTATGAAATACTTGTTCTCCCCACTGTAGATAACGACAGACAGACAGACAGACAGACAGACAGACAGACAGACAGACAGACAGACAGACAGACAGACAGACAGACAGACAGACAGACAGACAGACAGACAGATAGATAGAATGTGTGTGTGTGTGTTTGTCTGCATGTGTGTGCATGTGCATTTTTAGCTCTGTGGACATGCATGCGGTACGTGTTCCCCCTACTTTTCATCATGGCACAGCTGATCTGCTCTGTTGAGCAGCCCCATATGCCTCCCCCCTCTCTTTCACACACACACACACACACACACACACACACACACACACACACATACACACACGCACAAGCCCTGCCTCATTGCTTGACTGTTCCCTTGGGAAATAGCTGTGGATTAGTTATTCAATTAGGGAGGTATTATTGGCCTCACCCTCAGAGGACGGAGTTGATGATGCTGTGATTACTCTGCTCTGCATTCCGCTATGGCCCCAACACTGTGTTTGTGTGTGTATTAGTGTGTGTAGTAATGTGTTTGCTGAGGGTGATGTTTGTGTTGTGTGATTAGAGAGAGTAAAAGAGAGAGAGTGTGTGTGATTGTGAGTTTGTGTGTGTGCGTGCATTTCTGCACCATCGAGAGCATATTGACTGGTTGCATCACCCCTTAGTATGGCAAAAACACCAACCTCAACCACAAAGCGCTACAGAGGGTGGTGCGGACGGCCCAGTACATCACTGCCATCCAGGACCTCTATATCAGGCGGTGTCAGAGGAAGGCCTGAAAAATTGCCAAAGACTTCTGCCACCAAAGCCATAGACTGTTTACTCTGCTATCATCTGGCAAACGGTACCCGAGCACCGGCTCTCGGACAAACAGGCTCCAAGACAGCAGTAATATGGCTTTGGGGTAGAAGCTAAATAGCCATAAGAATGCAAAATAGTTCATTAAATGGTTACACGGACTATCTGCATTGCACTGACTATACACACTCACAAGACTATATATACGCACTATATACACACTCACTCACTCCACTGACACTCGTAAGCAAGCATTTCAAGGTAAAGTCTACACCTCTTGTATTCGGCGCATGTGACAAATAATGCGTGAGAGAGAGAGAGAGAGAGAGAGAGAGAGAGAGAGAGAGAGAGAGAGAGAGAGAGAGAGAGAGAGAGAGAGAGAGAGAGAGAGAGAGAGAGAGAGAGAGAGAGAGAGAGAGAGAGAGAGAGAGAGAGAGAGAGAGAGAGAGAGAGAGAGAGAGAGAGAGAGAGCGTCTGCACATGTGTGAGAGACAGAGTATGTGTGTGCATGTTTGTGTGCATCCTTGTATGTGTGTGTGGCTGCAAATAATGGATGGAGGGAGAGAATGAGTAGAGGGGAATGAGTGACATGGAGAAGGGGTGAAAAATGGGTGTCTATCAGAAATCCCTGAGTGGTTTTAAATGAACCTCCTACAGACTCTCTCTCACACACTCACACAGCCTTGCTCTGATCTGTTGTGTGTAGATATTTTAACCCAGTAGAGTGTGAATCAGAGTCAAAGAGTCAGCTCAGATAACCCTCCAGTAACACAATCACTCAGTTAAGCACTGAAACATGCTGTACTGTACCGTCCACTGTACTGTATACTGCACTGGAGTGTTTACCATATTGTGCATAGCGTTAAAAGGGCAATCTGCAGTTCAAACCACAACTTTTTCCAAAATCAATAGTATACACTACATGACCAAAAGTTTGTGAACACCTGCTTGTCGAACATCTCATTCCAAAATCATGGGCATTAATATAAAGTTCGTCCCCCCTTTGCTGCTATAACAGCCTCCACTCTTCTGGGAAGGCTTTCCACTAGATGTTGGAACATTGCTGCGGGGACTCGCTTCCATTCAGCCACAAGAGCATTAGTGAGGATGGGCACTGATGTTGGGTGGTTAGGCCTGGCTCGCAGTCGACGTTCCAATTCATACCAAAGGTGTTCAATGGGGTTGAGGTCAGGGCTCTGTGCAGGCCAGTCAAGTTCTTCCACACCGATTTCGAACAAACCATTTCTGTATGGACCTCGCTAATGCACACGCGAGCACACACACACACACACACACACACACACACACACACACACACAGAGAGAGAGGCTGACCACTCATACAGCAGTCTCACTCACAGAGGTAGGAGAGGTACTCTGACTAATCAGACTACATGGAGAGCCTCTGTGACTCGCACCTTCTTTTTTACTCATCTCTTCATCTTTATCTGTATCTGTCTGTTCATCTTCTCTATCTGCCACTGGAGAAAGACAGAGAGAGACTGGTGGGTTGTGATAAATGTGTTGTACAAAAAAAGTACATTTTCAGCATAATTGGTTCAATTAAAGTACAGATGTAAGAATGAATAAATAGGGATAGGTCATGTACACCTTCACAGGGCACAAGCAAATTCACCCCGTGTTTGCACACATGCACCCCATCACCCACCCCAACTCCCCTACACAGACTTGCTCTCTGTGGGCTGTTGAGGTGGTGTGTGGATGAGCTCCACTGTTTAAACTCCTGTCGTAGAGGGGTCTGGCCCTATCTGCCCAGCGCAGCCCCACAGATGCCCTCCTGTGTGGGGAGAGGAGAGAGGGGAGCAAGACACCCAGCCTGGAGCCTCATCAGCTCTGTCCAGGATACAAATAGGTCAGTGAGGGAGAGGAGGGGCAGTGGCACACACACACACACTAGACACAGACGGCAGGAGACCCTGACAGCTGAGTTCCTCCGTCGGCCATGATGGGAAGGGCCATCTGGTGTCAATGTGGGGAAGTCAAGCACACAGACACACACACACACACACACACACACACACACACACACACACACACACACACACACACACACACACACACACACACACACACACACACTGTTTCAGGAAGGCCAGGGCCAGCACCTGAAAAGCCTGTCACAGACCTGTCAGACACTCACTGTCTGCTAACGTCCCATCCTCCTCTTTGACACACCGTGTCAGAATACCCATACTTGTGTCCTAAATAGTAGGCCATTTGAGTATGCGAAAAAAATCATGTTTTATAATATGTGACATTTCGAAAAAACTAGTATACTTTAAATGCCCGGATGTCATACTAATTTCGGCTTTGACTTCAGCTCATAATCAGATATGAGGATGCGCTACCAAAATGAACGAATAGAGGGAAACAACGTCATCGCGAATGACTCATTCTCAGTATAAGAAAATTAAAAATGTTATAGTACATGGATTTCTGAAAATTGAGTATGCTTTAAATTCCAGGATTTTATACTCATTTAGGCTTTTCATCTACTACAATTGTAAATGTAATTCGGTACACATTTTTCTGAAATTTCACAGCCACAATGCATTGAAAGAGGGGAGGCTGCAAGTTTTGAGAGCTAGATCTCTTCAAGTAAACAACTTAGAAGATGGCGAAAAGCGAAGCTTTTGCGGTGGTGTGAAAAATATGTCGTTTTTGTTCTCCTTAAAATTATCATTACTATTTTGTCATACATCTTTATAAACAAATTTGCAACCTGCTACCTGACGTGCCTTGGCTAGCTACAGTTGAAGTCAGAAGTTTACATACACTTACGCTGGAGTCATTAAAACTTGTTTTTCAACCACTTCACAAATTTCCTGTTAATAAACTAGAGTTTTGGCAAGTCGGTTAGGACATCTACTTTGTGCATGACACAAGTAATTTTTCAAACAATTGTTTACAGACAGATTATTTCACTTATAATTCACTGTATCACAATTCAAGTGGGTCAGAAGTTTACATACACTAAGTTGACAGTGCCTTTAAACAGCTTGGGAAATTCCAGAAAATGATGTCATGGCTTTAGAAGCTTCTGAAAGGCTAATTGACATAATTTTTGTCAATTGGAGGTGTATCTGTGGATGTATTTCAAGGCCTACCTTCAAACTCAGTGCCTCTTTGCTTGACATCATGGGAAAATCAAAAGAAATCAGCCAAGACCTCAGAAAATATATTGTAGACCTCCACAAGTCTGGTTCATCTTTGGGAGCAATTTCCAAACGCCTGAAGGTACCACGTTCATCTGTACAAACAATAATACGCAAATATAAACACAATGGGACCACGCCGCCGTCATACCGCTCAGGAAGGATATGCGTTCTGTCTCCTAGAGATGAACTTACTTTGGTGCGAAAACCTTATGAAGATGCTCTAGGAAACAGGTACAAAAGTATCTATATCCACAGTCAAATGAGTCCTATATCGACATAACCTGAAAGGCTGCTCACAAGGAAGAAGCCACTGCTCCAAAACTGCCATGAAAAAGCCAGACTACGGTTTGCAACTGCACATGGGGACAAAGATCGTACTTTTTGGAGAAATGTCCTCTGGTCTGATGAAACAAAAATGGAACTGTTTGACCATAATGACCATCGGTATGTTTGGAGGAAAAAGGGGAATGGCTTGCAAGCCGAAGAACACCATCCCAACCGTGAAGCACGGGGGTGGCAGCATCATGCTGTGGGGGTGCTTTGCTGCAGGAGGGATTGGTGCACTTCACAAAATAGATGGCATCATGAGGAAGGACAATTATGTGGATATATTGAAGCAACATCTCTAGACATCAGTCAGGAAGTTAAAGCTTGGTCACAAATGGGTCTTCCAAATGGACAATGACCCCAAGCATACTATCAAAATTGTGGCAAAATGGCTTAAGGACAACAAAGTCAAGGTAATGGAGTGGCCATCACAAAGCCCTGACCTCAATCCTATAGAAAATGTGTGGGCAGAACTGAGTTTAAATGTATTTGGCTAAGGTGAATGTAAACTTCCGACTTCAACTGTATATATATATATATATTTACCCAAAAAATATATGGGGGATTGGAAATGATGCAGACAATTAAATTGATGGAAGCTACTATCTATCTGTAATATTAAAGCTGATCTACCCCCTAAAATCAAAAATACATCCATAGCACCTACAGTACAATAAAACATATGAAAATGCATAGCTCTTTGTAAACTCTTGAAACAATCTGTTCATTAAAATGTAATTCACACAGTAACATACATTTTCTCAACTAAAGTTTTAATCAGTCTTCACACCTCTCCTGGCATCAGTGACCCCAGGACTTCCGTGGGAACATATCTTCCTCGAGATTGACAGATAAGGTGTGTTTGATCCCTGTGATAGCCCCCAGATTGTCTATCATTCAAACAATGCCATAAATCGTGAATGAGTCATCATGCTGGGCCTGAGTGCCAGCATGTCGCTAGACGTATCTTCGTCACTGGCCTTCATCATCGTTCACATTTGTTCATTCTATTTTCAATTACAGTTGGGTAGGGAAAAGTTTTTCACTGTCTGTAAACATTCACACCCTCACCGTGGCTAGCTCTGGGAGCATGATATTGAAGGCTTTTCAGCCTTGAAATGTGGCAATGTAGAACTAATTTCTAAATATGTCTTTCTTTTAGTAAAGAAGATGTGGATGAGTCAGAGTAACCAAACACCTTCACAGCAGCTGTTGTACCCCCACCGCTCTCCCTCCTCAAGCGAACACCTCATCTGCTCCTCCACAATCAAACACATCCTCTTCTCCTGTTCAACCCAGCACCTTCCTGCTCCTCTTCAACCCAGCACCTCCACAACACCAGCAAGGAGAAGGTCTGCCTCACCTTCTCAGAGGTCCCATTCTTGAGGGAGGAGGCCCTCCACCCCAGGGAGTCTGTCCCGCCCCATACAAGGACATGGGCGTTCACGGTCTACAGCAAGGTCACGGTCACCTCTCTGTGGTCCAACGCCAAATAAATTTACATTTTAGTCACTTAGCAGACGCTCTTCTTCAGTGTGGTCAGAACACTGTGCGACAACAGAAACAAACTGGCAGACCGGAATATTGCCAATGGTAAAAAATACAACTGGACTCCAATCAACCCCCTCGACTTGCTAAAGTTTATTGAAATTGTTCTGTAAATGGCCATCCTGATGAAGGGGGGCTGGAAAAAAATTCCAGCGCTACAGACGGCTATATCCAGTACACCACTTTTGGGAAAATAAAATACTTCATACATATATATATATATACACTACCGGTCAACATTTTTTGAACACCTACTCATTCAAGGGTTTTTCTTAATTTTTACTATTTTCTACATTGTAGAATAATAGTGAAGACATCAAAACTGTGAAGTAACACATATGGAATCATGTAGTAACCAAAAAAAGTGTTAAACAAATGAAAATATATTTTATATTTGAGATTCTTCAAATAGCCCCCTCTTTCCCTTGATGACAGCTTTTCACACTCTTGGCATTCTCTCAACCAGCTTCCTGAGGTAGTCACCTGGAATGCATTTCAATTAACAGATGTGCCTTCTTAAAAGTTAATTTGTGCAATTTCTTTCCTTCTTAATGCGTTTGAGCCAATCAGTTGTGTTGTGACAAGGTAGGGGGGTGGGGGGTATACAGAAGATAGCCCTACTTTGTTGCCTTACAACCTGGAATTTAAATGGATTTTTGGGGGTTTTGTATCATTTGATTTACACAACATGCCTACCACTTTGAAGATGCAAAATATTTTTGGGGTCAAACAAACAACAAATAAGACAAAAAATGAGATCTTGAGCGTGCATAAATATTTACCTCCCCCCAAAGTCAATACTTTGTAGAGCCACCCTTTGCAGCAAGTCTCTTGGGGTATGTCTCTATAAGCTTGGAACATCTAGCCACTGGGATTTTTGTCCATTCTTCAAGGCAAAACTGCTCCAGCTCCTACAAGTTGGATGGGTTCCGCTGAGTACAGCAATCTTTAAGTCATACCACAGATTCTCAATTGGATTGAGGTCTGGGCTTTGACTAGGCCATTCCAAGACATTTAAATGTTTCCCCTTAAACCACTCGAGTGTTGCTTTAGCAGTATGCTTTGGGTCATTGTCCTGCTGGAAAGTGAACCTCCGTCCCAGTCTCAAATCTCTGGAAGACTGAAACAGGTTTCCCTCAAGAATTTCCCTGTATTTAGCACCATCCATCATTCCTTCAATTCTGACCAGTTTCCCAGTCCCTGCTGAAGGAAAAACATCCCCACAGCATGATGCTGCCACCACCATGCTGGGATGGTGTTCTCGGGGTGATGAGAGGTGTTGGGTTTGCGCCAGACATAGCGTTTTCCTTGATGGCCAAAAAGCTCAATTTTAGTCTCATCCGACCAGAGTACCTTCTTCCATATGTTTGGGGAGTCTCCCACATGCCTTATGGTGAACACCAAACGCGTTTGCTTATTTTTTTCTTTAAGCAATGGCTTTTTTCTGGCCACTCTTCGCGTTTAAGAAGCAAGTAGACTCAGCCAGTATTAATTTATTAAACTAGGACATATGGGCCGGTCAATTAAAGACATTTGAGAAGATATAGTTGTTGGCCGAAGCATAGTATTATCTCTCTGTCTATTGCACTTCAGTAGCGTGAGTAAGACCAACGGCAAAAACATTTATTTTATGTTTCCGCGTGTTCCGGTAAAACATTGCTAGCAAAAGAATCTCCGAAAGGGTTAACGTGAGACGACATTAATAAACCCCTTCCCTTGTTAAAGGGGACCCTGTGTGTGCGTGGAAATTAGATTCCCTGTACAACTAGGGTAGCTTTGCACTAGATGCTAAGCTAACGAAGGGAGAGCAGCCATTTTTGTTTATCCCTTTGTTCCAAAGGTAGTTCCGCCCCTCGGAACTCCCGTTTAATTTCAGCTTTCGGAGATTGGCGACCTCTGGTGGTGAGAAATCGCCAGTCATTCTTTTTGAAACAATTAATGTGAGGGCACACTCTTAACCCACTGTTACAACGGGTTACACTGTATGATATCAATCCAATCTCAACTGGTTGGACATCATTGTCTCATTCGATTTAACCGGGAAGGTGAATCGCCAAACAAACCTTTTTCAGGGTTGGTCATTTGAATAAGGTCAAAATTTAGTTGTTCAAACCAATGAGACATTTAAAACTTTCTTCACATTAACCAAGATACAGCAACGCTTTTCAGGTTAGTTAAAGTTTAATTCCCAGATAGCCTATACAGGTTGATTGATAATTATCATTGATTAATCAATTAAAATTGCTTTTGCAAAGCTCATTGTGTGATGAGGTGGTGTTGAAGGAGTCAGGCGCAGGAGGATAATTCACAGAATAACAGGCTTTCATCCGCAAAATACAGGTTTATGCAGAAATGCGTCAAACACACTCCAGGGCACAAAACAGGCACACTGGAAAATACAAGGCACACGGGAAATACTCCCGTCGATACAAAATACACGAGCTCCACCGAGCTTCACTAACCTCCACAATAAGTAATCACCCACACAGACAAGGAAACAGAGGGAACACTTATAGCATGACTAATGAGGGAATAAGGACCAGGTGTGTGTGATTGAAGACAAGACAAATGGAGTTATGATAAATGGATCGGGCAGTAGCTAGTAAGCCGGTGACGCCGAACGCTGAAACCTGCCCGAACAAGGAGGGGAGGCAGCCTCGGCGGAAGTCGTGACAGTACCCCCCCCCCCCCCTTGACGCGCGGCTCCAGCAGCGCACCGACCCCGGCCTCGGGGACGGCCAGGAGGACGCATAGCAGGGCAAGCCGGATGGCGACGGTGGAAATCCCGTAACATGGATGGATCGAGGATATCCCTCACCGGGACCCAGCACCGTTCCTCCGGACCGTACCCCTCCCACTCCAAGAGGTACTGAAGGTCCCCCACCCGACGCCTCGAATTCAGGATGGAACGGACAGAGTACGCCGGGGCCCCCTCGATGTCCAGAGGAGGTGGAGGGACCTCCCGCACCTCAGACTCCTGGAGCGGACCAGCTACCACCGGCCTGAGGAGAAACGAGGTGTTAATACGGTAATCAGGGGGAAGTAATAACCTATAAGTGACCTCGTTGACTCTCCTCAGGACTTTGAACGGCCCCACAAACCGCGGCCTCAGCTTCCGGCAGGGCAGGCGGAAGCGATCCTTGGTCTTATTGCCCTTGGCATGTGCACCTACTATGTACACAGGCACATACGCGCAATGGAAGACCTAATGAGGTCTTATGCTAGGATCATCTGTGTGATGGATGCAATCCCGATTTTCTGAAAACTGGCAATAAATTCCAAAAACCCAATAGGTGACCCATCCACAGCATCCCCAGCTTCTTCCACAGAGTTCGCTAGGTCAGCCCTGTAGTTCCACCAATGGAAGCTTTGTCATTCAGGGTGCCATTTTAGAGAGTGCCTTATCTACCACCTTCAAGTAGGATCGCCCTAGATATGACATTAGACAAATGTCATGATAGAGTCATTTAGCCAAGACCATGTAGATGACTAAGGTGGGGGAACTATATTTTGTATATCTTTTATTTTATTTTATTCTTTACATTTTAATTTTATTTGACACTAAGGAAGTGATATTGCCACAAACAAGTTCCCCATACGACCACCAGTTAGTGCCATAGCGCCGCTCCTTTGGTGAGGAAATGTAATGATGTATTGCCTGAGTGTTGTGCGTTGTTAACGTCTGTGTAAGTTACTGCCTAGATCTACCAGCCTGGACAACCGGACAACGGGCCCACAACGATGATCCACAAACAGGACATCCTGTGGTCATTTTTTTTATGGTGGGTTGCAAACTTGCAGAATCCTTCCAAGGTTGAACCACCAGAGGGGGACTGTCATGACTATTCCTGGGTGAGGATCAAAGGTCTCATATCAGCTTGGCAAATGGCCGACAACAACCAGACCCTCTTACCCACAGGGGGGGCTGTGCCGGTCTTGACACCTTAATACTGTCATAAATTAGTGATAGGAGAATTTATCTCTGGCCCTCTAGTATGGTGAAAGGAATGTCCTTTGTTTCAGAGACTTTTGCCGCCCAAAACTTCAACATCCAACAATGAACATTGGGACAATATATTTCAACATCCAAACGTTATATGGAATATGGAAAATGAATGTCTATTTTGTGATGTCATTAAAAATGGTATAAAGGCGTTATAACGAAAACATTGTGACTTGAAGAGCTTTTACACTGTGTATATCAGGTTTACATCCTTAACGTTGTGTAGAAAATCTCAAGGAGGAAGACAATATTTTCGTGAAGATAGGAATGTGATTTTAGCTTTCTAACAAAATCATAGTGATAATACTACTTTTGCCTCATAACTAGCCACGCCCGAGGGAGCCCAGAGAGCATGTCAGTATGATGGAAACGCCCCTCTTTACCAGAGTGCATAAAAGACTGAGATAAGAATGATCATATTAGACTAGACGGACCTCAAGCTGCAGCTGTTGTCCATATTGGTCCCGACCCTGAAAATCAACACGAGGTGAAGATGACAAATTTGCTTCCACTAACAATCAATGTTACGGCTGAGTAGCTGTTCTATGTACTGTATCTAAGAAGGTGAATTTAAGTGGGACCATCCTGTTACTCTCATCAAACCATAATCTACTACACTGCTCTCATCACCCGACAGGGGATCATCAGCACGGCTGATTAGCCGTCCTCAGAAGACCACTTTCAGAACGAGTGAAAGTAAACAGACGACTAAGAAGAAGGACATTGTGACCTCTTGTGGACAATCTGAGCCTTACATCTGAGCCTTACACCAAAAAGGCCATCCGACAAGAGAAGGCCCAATCGACCCTTCCCACGGAGGCCTGGGTCCAAC